TGTACGTCTAGAGAGAATGAAGTGATCATCATTGTATGATACCCCTTTGGTAGGATGTGATTGAACGTTCACCTGCGTGGCGGGAGGCGGAGGAGGATGTGTTCCCTGAGCGCGTGTCTGTGATGATCATCCTTTGACTGCCAGGACAACAACGCGATGAAATTAACTGTGGTAAGCGTACATACACACAGTCTGCGTTTATGTATTTGTTTTGATCAGGTGTACACTACGAGGTAGAAGGCAAAGGCGACAATAGCAAGACAAGTCAACTACTTGTACGTCTATTTTCACAGGTGTGAGTTGAATGTGCTTTTGTTTTCTGCTTGGGGACTGTGTGCCTCTTAGCTCTCAGTCTGTGATGTGTTAGTAACTGTAACTGCTCGATTCAACTGATGAACTGAGTGTGTGTAAGACATAATATGCAAAACCCTAATGCTCATTGTTAGATTGCATACATGTGTCTGTTAGCTACTACTTCAAGTGTGTTATGATCCGTTGAAGCTAGTACAAGTGGAAAAATCATATGTTGAGGGAGATGTATGCGTGGCGTCAGAAAAGGCTCCGCTGAAAAAATCAGATAACCGCCATCCCTTCCGACATCTTTCTTTAGCTCTGATATAAAAATGTGTACTTGTCATTCACGTATGTAAGCTAATTCACACGTCTAGATCGTGAGTAAACCTTTTTAACTGTTGTACAACACTTTGTTCAACAGTGTTCGAGCATCCAGTCCGTCTGGTGGTGGGAGTGGTCCTCATGAAGGTCGTGTCGAGATCTACTACCAGGGAGCAGTGGGTGCACTGTCTGTGAAATTAAATTGGGATATTGTTGATGCAGAGACGTGAGTTTTGTTCGTTCTTCACTTATGATTGTGTGTGTAAATAATAAATTATAATTCCTGACACTATGAAATGGAATATATGGTACCGTATTAGAGGTGGTGGTGTGATGGACTTTTGCATGTAATAATCATCCCTAGGTGAGATAGCATAGGTATAGGTCCCGATTAAGAGGTGATAAAGGGAGTGTTAAGAAGTTTGTCACTGTCCAGGTGGTGTGTAGGCAGCCTAGGCCTACTCTCGGGCCACTAGAGCCTCGGTCCTGCTGATGTTTGGAGAGGGAAGTGGACCCTTTGGTTGCCATACCTCAACTGCATAGATGGTTGAGAGTCATTGGATCCGTGTTATCATGGAGAGTGGGGTGATATGTCTGACGTGTTACCACTACCGAGATGACTGACTCAGGTCGGATACGCTACACATATTGTTCAAGGTATTCAAATTGAATGAGACCATTGGATGGCACTGTTTGTTTAACACAAAGGGGGAGTTCAATTGGTGTGCATATGGCGGTCTGTTTGTTGGCTGTTTTCGTGTTTTTTAGAGCGTGCATCATCTCAATGAAAAGCACTTGAAGTGCATAACCCTCGCCACTTTATTCTTTATTTCAGCAGCCAATGGCTACTAGCTACACTACCTCAGTTGTTTGCACGTGCGTGTCAATACTAGTTACTACTACTGCAAAGTGAAAAGCACTTGACAGTACATAACCCTCACCACTTATTCAGCTACTACTACATCTACATAAGTGATCCTTCACTGAACGGATTCACTGGGCGTGTGCTGCTGTCACTTTGTCACCAGCAATCTCGCTCCGCACAGCTCTCGTAGCGCGATCTCTAGTGACGCACACTCACCTCGACAGCTGCCCGTTTCACCAGCTTCCCGGGTCTTCTCCGCTCCAGCATCTTATTTACCAGTGCATGCCTCCTACGTGATAATAGTCACGTTTCACGCTCGAGTTGCGACGGTTACCGAGAAAACGTGGACCGCCGGACGACCGACGCACACACACCAGACAGACCACTGCATAACCCTCGCCCTGCACACGCGTGCAGGTGAGGGTTATATTAGACGAGTGCTGCTCTCATATCTATGATGCAATTACCTCTCCTTACGGAGGGGGGCAACATCAGTTGTATACGTACTTTGAATGTGTTTTAGCTACAATGCTTTCGTGTACCTGCGCCATAATGGTAGCTATTCAATGTTGTTGTTCAGGTAATGATACAGGACTACTGCCCATTTCGTCGCCTCTGATGCTGCAACAGAGTATGAGGGTCTTGTTGAGATCCTACTGGATGGTCATCTCGGGGAGTGTGTGTCGGAGACGCTGGACCAGGAGGGCATGCTGCCTGTTGTCTGCAGACGACTGGGACTTTGCCAGTGAAGGAGCTGACACTCTTCTGTCCTGCTTACTATGGGGAGGTTAGCTCATCCCGACTGTGTATATATAGGAGGAGCAACGTTTTTAAGACCTATGTGTATGTACCAGTGTGTTTTATTGCACATGGACGTAAACACATGTGTTCATCTATATACAGTGACAAGCCTCACATACAACGGGTTTCAGTGCAGTTTGTTTCTGGTTTACTTTATTATGTACTGTGTATACGATGATAGCAAGAAATTTGCTACCTGCCATTCTGTCACTTTCTGTACATGTAGCTACGTCTTTGTTCAACTTACATAGAGCTCCGGTCCAATTTTGCTGAGTAATGTGGAGTGCTCGGGACGGAGTTGTATTTGAAGGACTGTCCAAGCTCTGGACTCTACAACACGCTGTACCCACTCCCAGGATGTGGAGTTCGCTGCCTCTGGTACATACGAAGGCAACTTTAGATTGGGACACAGTCGCCTAGTACAGCTCATTACCCTAGCAGAGCTAGCTCACAGTAATCATGGCAAATGTACGTACAAACTTTAATATAAGTGTCTCACCTTCTGGAAGTATATAGATTCAACAAAATGATTGTGTAGATGGACACAATGTCTCATGCCTCGTGGCTGATCTGGGTGATCAGAGTGTATTGGCATGGACCCTCAAAACATGCTGAATGTAGAGCAAGTCACTATTGCTGCAAAGTACAGCATTGGCACGAGTGTATTGATGTGAGAGCCTCGGTGGTGCGCATGCGCAGCGAGGTTAGCGGTAGTCGCTCGTCTGTGGCGGTGTCGGTGTGTCGACGCTTATTCTGGCACTACAGGCTACGAAGCGCCATAGCTTCAGAATTACACGAGCCTGAAAAAGTAAAGTGCGGATTGTCCTGAAACACGACTGTGTTCGAGGGGCGGACAAACTGGCACGGTCGCTGGTCGTGTTGCGTGGCCCAACTCGACTCATCAATAAGCTGTGCGCATGCGTATATTAGACGCGCGATCACGCGGTATGCTGGCTCACATCAGACCTGATCCGCTTGCTCTGTTCCTTGAGGCACGAAGAACAGCGAAGGGCGTTTGTCGACTCCGGCATGCTATCTACTACCGTAGCTACCCGTGTCAGCCTCCCGCGAGCTACTAGCGGGAGACCGCAGGTAAACGCGTACTAATAGCCAGCACATCCATTAGCAGTACCGCGGACGCGCAGTTCGCCGCAGGGTTTGCACGTGAGTGCTTTTCCATTAGTGAAGTCATGCATCTACATACTATCAGGTTTTCGATATTTTTTAAATCTGACTGTTTATCTCAGGTTACTTAGACTAAACAGTCTACTAATGCTACTACTACATAATACATGCATGTCCGTTTGTTTGTGTCATGAACTAATTCTTAAACCCAAACACAGCTGCTCCCAGTCTCTGAGTTTTCCAACCCTGTTCGTCTGGTGGTCAATGGCTCCCATGTCTCTACGACGAGGGTACAGTGAGATCTACTACAACGGAGCTTGGAACACCATCTGTGATACAGAATGGGACATGGCTGAGGCCATAGTGGCCTGTCGCATGCTGGGATTTAGAACTGCCTCCGGTGCTTATTCCAGGTAGGAAGCAACATCACAGTTATGCTGAGTGTACAGTGGAACCTCCGAACAAGGACACTATGGGGCCAACAATTTTGTCCCTTGTAGAGAGGTCGTCCCTACGTATCTCGGAAGTCAAATTAGCATTGGGTTGAAAAGGAAGTCCTGCCAACCATCACGCATTGGGCGATTAATTTATGCCTGTTCACGCATCCACGCACGCATTGATAAAGTTGCACACACTTTTGTAGGTCAAAAAATAACACATTGTGTTTCTATGACCTCTATTATTCAACCTGAACAGGCTCAGCATAGCGTTTAGCTGACAGGAAAATAGCTACGTAGATAGCTAGTGGCGTAATTTAGCGTCTACAAGTAACAGGCAAGTCAAATGTCCACGCTAAAAGTCCATTTTCCACGCATTCCTAGCAAAAATCACATCCTTTTCCAAGCAATTGCATATAATAGGTTGGCAGCACTGAAAAAGTCTCTTTTGAAAAGAGGTTGTCCCTATCTCGGACGGTCTCTTGTCTGAGGTTCCACGGTATGCGTACATGTTCACAGATCTTTCTTTGGGTACGGGCGTCCATCTCGACTGGAGGATAACGTGAGGTGTGATGGGACAGAGAGTGAACTGAGTGACTGCTTCTACCAGGATCAGTATCTTTATGGCTGTGGCTACGAGAATGCTGCCGGCATTTCCTGCACTGGTAAGCTGGAGTAAAACCATAACATGTCCCACTGGAGGATCATGCATGTACATCTTTATAGCAGGTGAAAGGCCCTCCTTCTTCAGCAGCATACATGACACAAGATAATTATTCTTCTTAGCAAACTTTACTCGCTAGCTGATGCTGTAATCTAGAAAGTAATAGGAGGACGGCTGTTGTCTGCCCTAGTCACAGGACCTTTTCTCCTGAGCATGAATGTGGAATGTTTACTCAAGGAATGCAACACATTTTTGGTGAACGAAGCGAGCAGTTCAAATTTTCATGCATTTTACGCGTATTTAGAATTACGTATAACAATACTGTCTGTGCATTGCTTGATAGGGCGTACGTGACAAATTAAAATAATCCAGTATAGGTCATGGTAGTACACAACAATAATGGTTTTGTTTAGCTTTAATTGTGCGTCCTGTGGTTTGTGGAACACAAACATTGTTCAGATGACACGGCACCAGTCCGTCTGGTTGGTGGGAGTGGTCCTCATGAAGGTCGTGTTGAGATCTACTACCAGGGACAGTGGGGCACTGTCTGTGATGATGGATGGAGCCGGACCGATGCTAATGTAAGACAATGAATTATGCAAGCCTGCTAAGTCATAATATCCATGCCATTCTCTTACTTGTATACAGTAAGTTGAAGCTTTTTGTAATGACCTGCCGGCTTCCTGTTAAACACAGTTTTTCCGCATGTTTGGAGCTAGCTGTAAACTAGTCACTCTGTGTGTTCCAATTGCTACCTCTCACACGTACAGGTGGTGTGTAAGCAGCTTGGCTATGATGGAGCCATTTCAACACCGTATGGGTTTGGACAGGGATTATTATCGAGAAAGATTTGGTTAAAGAGAGTTGCCTGCACTGGCTCTGAACGTGCACTGGACTTGTGTCCTCATGCTGGATGGGGACTCACCTACCCCTGTGCTAATCGTGATGCAGGGGTAGAATGCGAAGGTAAGGACACATGACACTTAGACCAGTACATACAGCTGAAAGTCGCTGCACATGGATTTTCATTTGACAAAGGAGTAGAGCACAGAAAATATAGAGATACGGATGTACCAATGAGCACCATGTATGGTGAAGAGACTTTCCTGTCTTGTTATGGTAATTACAACCGGCCATTGTGGCTTTATTACACAAGTTATGCAACTATTGCCTCCCTTCAAGAAAATAATACACCGCCTGTTGCTGGGCATTGCACTACATGTGTAGTTACAACTGTGTGTGCACTCCTATAGTCTACAAGTTTGAGTCACTCTCACCTTCAATTCAATGTATGTGAATGGGGTATTGCATAGCAGTTATTATTCATGCCACTTTACATATGTGCACCGGGTGGTGATTTTACTGTACTGAAGGTAGCAATAACGCAAACACTTTGCACATTATCTCCTGTATTTTCTCTGTTGCACAATTAGAGTGTCGCAGTGACAACTTCAGTTGTTCAGGTGGAGGTTGTGTCTCTGGGAGGACTGTCTGCGATGGTGTTGCCCAATGCAATGACAACAGTGATGAGCTCAACTGTGGTAAGTGTAACCGACACCTAGATACGTATGTGGGGGAGAATGTTGTTGCGCGCCGTGGCAGAAAACATGGTAACAGACAAACCGACTCACGAACCAAGTATATACCGTAACCCTCACTGCGCATGTGTGCCGAGGGTTAACCACTCACAAATTAAGTGGGCTGACGTGTGAAACACGGTGCATACCATGGTAACATGAGTAATGTTAAGTGCGTAAAATAATTATGTCAGGGTCTATAGCTGGAAAAAGTCATGCTACTGAGTAACCAACACCGTTATAGAATCTAATTGAGTTTAAGAGTGGCATCGATACCAGAGAGTAATGTGAGCAGTGTTGTATATAAGCAAATAATCACTGACATTTACCTCATAATAGCCCTTGGGAGATACGTGCTCGGAAAGACGGTGGGTATAAGAGTTGCTAAGGTCTATACTGCTAGTGAAGTGGCCGTTTCTGTGCCTGACTTGCTGTAGATAAGCTCTGTGAAGGCTGGGTACCTGTCTATATTGCTATGGCTTGTGTTTATGGCTAGCAACTCTTACCAGTGGCTCAGGATCCCGACGTTATAGCCACCGTCTTTCCGAGCGCGTATCTCCCAAGTCGTGCAACCCTAGCACATGCAATATGGACCATTCAAGTTTCACAATTTTTTTTTCAAAATGGAACAGAGCGTACAGTAAGCTAACTACGGCGCTTGGAAAAGTGACATCATCTCCATAGACCTGCATAGAAAACCCGAACAAAATGGCGGAGGAATATACCCCGGAGGTTGCGTCACGTTCAATTATGAGCTACTGAATTCCTCAGTCCTTTACGTGAAAAGGGCTATTAATCTGAACATCTCGCTCCACATGTAATGTATTGCCTTTACCCTCAGTTTGCCTCCGCTACCAATATCAGTGCTCAAATGATGAATGTGTTGATGGGAGTGATGAGTGCGATGGGAAGGAAGACTGTTCAGATGGTTCAGATGAAATGGACTGTTCCGTAATTGACCCATCATCATCATATCATTTTCTGGACAATGTAGGTGATTTATTCTGCATATGTATACTTATTTCCATGTGATTTCTATTTTTCATGCAGTTGAGGTTATGATGATAATCATCGTCTCAATATTAGTGTGCTTGTGCTGTGCTGTTTGCATACCAGGCGTAATAGTAGGCTACTACTGTAGTCGCTCAAAGGCTAAATCCCGACCTACAGCACCAGCAGCTCGAAACACATTGGGAGTATATGAAGTTTCTTTTTTGTCAGAGCCCAGTGCTCGCAATCCAATACCACCAGTTGGACCCAGTGATTTCCCACCAGTTGGGCCCAGTGCTCGCAATGCAATACCACCAGTTGGACCCAGTGATTTCCCACCAGTTGGGCCCAGTGATTTCCCTCCAGTTGGACCCAGTGTTCACAATCCAATACCACCAGTTAGACCCAGTCCAATACCACCAGTGGAGATGGGCAGACTGCCTGAAGGGATACGAGAGACCCAGTTCCATGAACCCTACACATCTCGGTCAAATGCTCCGCCATCGTATGATGAATCAGTTAGAATGCCTTACAACCCTTCCATGCTTCAGGTAGGATACATACTATAATGAAAAGCACTGAAGTGCAAACCCTCGGCGCATTGTGACGCGCACGCGTAAGTAAAAGCATGCGCAGTACCACTAATTGATGGGCTGGGTTTAGTTTTAGCTGTTACTCGGGTCTCTTGCCAGCTCGCGCAGAGTCTGACGCGGGCTAACTACACTACTAGATAGCATGCGAGAGGCGATACACGCCCTGCGTTGCATCTTCTGGTGCCTCTGAGGTACGCAGAGCACGCGGATCGATCAGACCCTGGTAAGCCATCCCGTCCGTTCCGTATTTGCATATTGGCTTTTTCGCGCTCTAGCTTTGCAACGGAGCAGTTTCAGAGAAAACCGTTCGAAATTTCTGACCTTCATTGCCCGTTAAGTAGGTCGTATCGTTTGTGAGACGAACAGACATTCGAGAAGTGAGATTGAGAGTAACAGACAGACACACACACAGACAAACCCAATGAAAAGCACTAAAGTGCAGACCCTCGGCGAAGTAGCTCGCAGAGAGTCTGACACGGGCTAGCTACAGTAGTAGATAGCACGCGAGAGTCGATACACGCCATTCGTTATGACTTCTTGTGCCATCAAGATAGACAGAGCAAGCGGACCCGGTCGAGGTAAGCCTGTGCTAAATATAAGCGCATGCGCATTATCCACCAGCGATAAAATGGCGACTACCGGCATTAGCCATACAATGCTGGAAGCGCTCTAGCTTTGCAACGGAGCACTTTCAGAGAAAACCGTTCGAAATTTCTGACCTTCATTGCCCGTTAAGTAGATCATATCCTTTGTGAGACGAACACTCGAGAAGTGAGATTGAGAGTAACAGACAGACAAACCCAAAACTACAGTAACCCTCGCTGCGCATGCGCGCCGAGGGTTAACTACAGTACCCTCTCTGCGCATGCGCGCCTAGGGTAACTACAGTACCCTCGCTGCGCATGCGCGCCGAGGGTAACTACTGTAAACCTCGCTGCGCATGCGCGCTGAGGGTTAATAATAGGTAACTATAAACATGATAGGCAGTAGCAAAAGTTTATGATCTCAGCTTGTAGCTTGCTATAGTTAGTGTCATGAACACAAACTTTGTTCTGTAACTCTGAGGACTAAAGTCATATATAGCAAGTCGACCAAACATAATACAAGCTATCAGTGTTCTCTTTGCAAATGGTTTGTATGTGAGTTTTCTTTGCATTATTGCTTTGATGTAGGGACAGTCCAACTCACTGCAACAGTTTTCTAATCTTGGGCAGCGGGAGGAAGAGCGTCCACCTCCTTACACTCCTGCACCCCCCACCCCCGAGACTTTTAGCCGTCTCCCTGCTCACCCGAGTGCACCACCTGTTGTTGACTTGAGACAGGGAGTGGGCACTGAGCTCCCCCCAGGCCTTCCTTCTGCCCCACCTCTGACTGAATCTTCACAACAAGAACCTCACCCACCCAGTGCTCCTACTCTGGAAGACAGTACTGCACCAGCTGTGGAATCCAGCACAAGACTCTGAACTACTTTCCACGTTTTACAATCCTATTTTTTGAACATTTTCAGCAAATTTTTAAGCACCTTTCCCATAATTGTGTGCAGGTAAAGAGTAGACTTGATCGATAATAATTATCGTTCACTAGCTATGTGCAATGGTACTGCTTGGCGTAGTGGTCCTAATAATTTACTATGGTTGTGTTCCAGCAATGTTTGTCACAGAACTATCAAAGGGCCTACAAAATAAAGCACAATATGAAAAGCACTTTGAAAGTGCATAACTCTCGCCACTTTATTCTTTATTTCAGCAGCCAATGCTACACTACCTTGGTTTTTTGCACATGCGCGTTCAATACTGGTTACTACTACAGCAAAGTGAAAAGCACTTGACCATACATAACCCTCACCACTATTTCAGCTACTGGAGTAGCTCATCAAAGATCGGACACCATGTATATTCGGACAGGCCTCCAGAGCATAATATGATAAAATATTATTCTATAAAGTATCTAGGATGTAGTGTTGCAAATGACAATCCTTCGTACCAAGTTTGGATCATTGACGCGCTTTTGTTGCTGCAAAAGGTCGACTGCCGATATTACGTAACATCGGGCGTTTTCATCTACCGACGGATGCATCAAACTGATCCGCATTTGGACTCCCTCCTTACTTTGGAAGCTATGGGCATAAGTGTTAACCCTTAGCCAGCCACACGGGCACATAAATATGCTCAGAGCGTCCTAAGAATTTATATAGGGCTATAATCGGGCACATAGAGCGTCCATAAGTCCATAAGAATTTATTGGCGAGCGGAAGCGAGCTAACCTAGTCGTCCGAACGGCGCGATTTTTCTATATATATATAATTATATATATACTAGTCTAATGGTAACCATTGTTGGCGAGCGGGAGCGATCCAACCAAGAAATGTGTTCAATGCAGGTGTTTTGCACAGTACTTCAAAGTTTGATTGGCCACAATTGGCTGGTCGAAGTTGTGAGGTTGAGGTGGCAGTAGACTTGCCTGCTGCATGTGACTTTGTCGGTCACGCTGACGTCTTGCTTCAGTCTCTTGTGGAGTCTCTGAGGCAATCCGTTGTTGTTTGTTGAGTCGTATCAGCTGTAGGCGGGCCTCTCTCTCCCCGCTGGCCTCAGCAGCAATTGTCTGTTCTTGATTCCTGCGTAAGTACCTGTTGCAGGCGGGGCCTCCTCTCTCCCCGCTGGACTCGGCAGCATTCGTCTTGCCTTGGTAGTTTCGGAGCTGTGTGAGCCTGGCCTGTTCCGTTTCCCATGATTCTGCAGCGCGTCTAGCTCTATCTTGTACACGAGGTCTCGCTAGTCGTGCTTCCCTTTTCTTCCGCTGTTTCGGCGGCGAGGCGTTCCCTTGGCCGTTCCCTTCACGCAGTCGGCGTTGAGAAAGCCGAGCCTCTCTCTGTCAGGAGTCTCACGCAGTCGGCGTTGAGAAAGCCGAGCCTCTCTCTGCTCAGGAAGTCTCACGCAGCTTCGGCTTGAGAAAGCCGAGCCTCTCTCTGCTCAGGATTCTCACGCAGTCGGCGTTGAGAAAGCCGAGCTCTCCTCTGCTCGGATTCTCACTGGCGCGACTCGTTTCTTTGCTGTTTGATAAGCCGAGCCTCTCTCTGTACAGGAGTCTCACGCAGTCGGCGTGAGAAAGCCGGCCTCTCTCTGCTCAGGAGTCTCACGGGTACGACGTTCTCTTTGTTGAGAAAGCCGAGCCTCTCTCTGCTCAGGAGTCTCACGGGCGCGACGTCGTCTTTGTTGAGAAAGCCGAGCCTGTCTCTGCTCAAGAGTCTCACGGGCACGACGTTCTCTTTCCCTCTCTCTCCGACGAAGGGCATCCTCTGTAGACTGACGATTCATGGTTGCCACAGTTAGTTGTGAAATGAAGTCGCGCATGCGCACTTACACGACGTACCACGGTCGGTCGTATATAAATAAATAAATAAATAAATAGAGAAATCGGCCCGTTGCGACGACTAGGTTGGCTCGCTCCCGCTCCAGCATTACGGGCTTCTTTTTATCCGAAAGAGAATTCCAAATTTTCATATGTTGTCTGAATCGATAGGAAACGCAACACGGCAGGCTCGAACACCTCCGAAGCTATCGAGAATTGCTGCACAGTCCAGCGAGAGATTTTTGGATTATGCCTGATTCGCGCTGTCGTCTGACTGTTTTTGACTCGACTCGAATTGTCTACTGCGCTCGGGTCTAAAAGGCCTACTTGGCCCTGTGCAATGTATCTCACTGTTTTGTGCACACACAAGAGTGACTCATACGATTAGTTGTAAGCTCGCTTCCGCTCGCCAAAAATGCCATGCATTCGCCTACTAGTATAGGGCTATATATAATTGGCGAGCGGGAGCGAGCTAACCTAGTGGTCCAAACGGAGCGATTTTTCTATATAATATATACGATCGCGTACGTTGTGTAAGTGCGCATGCTCCAGGATTACGCGCTTCTTTTTATCCGAAATGATTTCAAAATTTCACATGCTGCCTGATATGTGTCGTGCGTGTGTGTAGCTCCGTACTCTCGCATCAGTCTGAGAGGATGCCATTCGTCGTCGAAGAGAGAGGGAAAGAGAACATCGTGTCAGTGAGACTCCTGAGCAAGGGACGCGTATATTCTTTTCACGCTGCCTATAGCTGTCATATCGATGCGAAATCTCAGCGAAAGAACTCTCGTCTATTCGCAGGCATTCGCTGCGCTCTTCAATACCTGACCGAGGCTGTATATACCTCTTTCCAATCTTCGTGGTTCTAAGGTTCAAGTTGTAAATAGGCTAGGATGACTAATGCAGATACAGTCATTGTGTGCTCGCTCCCGCTCGCCATGCATTCGCCTACTAGTATATTATACTCCCTTTCTATCGTTTTATGTCCCAGGAACAGAAGTTTATATTTTTACTCAGCCATACACACGTGCAAGTGAACCACTCCGTATCCTCATTTATTTATCATTCTTTCATCATGCACAATAGTAGGTGACCAGTGAGCCACCCTGGCTCTTTAGTGGTCGTTAAAATTATTATTATTGGCGAGCGGAAGCGAGCTAACCTAGTGGTCCGAACGGCGCGATTTTTCTATATAATTATATATTATGTCACCGTACGTCGTCCAACTGCGCATGCTCCAGCATTACGCGCTTCTTTTTATCCGAAAGGGATTTAAAAATTTTCATATGCTGAATCAGGGGAAACGCAACACGACAGGCGCGAACACCTCCGAAGCTATCGAGAATTGCTGCACAGTCCAGCTGCGCTCTTCGATACCTGACCGAGGCTGTATATACCTCTTTCCAATCTTCGTGGTTCTAAGGTTCGAGTTGTAAATAGGCAGGCTAGGATGGCTCATGCAGATACAGTCAATATGTGCTCGCTACCGCTCGCCAAAAATGCCGTGCATTCGCCTACTAGTTATTATTATTGGCGAGCGGGAGCGAGCTAACCTAGTGGTACGAACGGCGCGGATTTTTATAGGACCATACGTCGTCCAACTGCGCATGCTCCAGCATTACGCGCTTCTTTTTATCCGAAAGGAATTCAAAATTTCACATGCTGCCTGCATGTGATGACACCCGCTTCACATAAATTTTTCGGGCTATATCCTGATCCTATTACCGCTCATTCGCCAAGCGCATTCCTATGGGGGGAGATTAGTGTCAAAATTACGCACACCAACGTCCGTTAAATTTTGGGTACACACTTTTTCATTTGGGTACACACTTTTTTAATTTGGGGACACACTTTTTTTATTAGGGTACCCAGTTTTCATTCTGGTACACACACTTTTTTATTTGGGTACCCAGTTTTCATTTGGGTATATACACTTTTTTATTTGGGTACCCAGTTTTCATTTGGGTATATACACTTTTTTATTTGGGTATGCACCATCAATACAGGCAGACCAGCAAATCTTCTCCACATGCGTAAAGCGTTCAGCATCTAAGTACAGCGATCGGCTGTGATCTCTATTTGACGCACACTCTCGGCAGCCGGCCCGTCCGTTTCACCAGCTTCCCCGGCCTTCTCCGCTCCTACCATGCATGCCTCCTACTTGATAATATGTCCACGTTTCACGCTCAGAGTTGCCGCAGTTACCGAGAAAAACGGTGGACAGGCAGACGGACGGACACGCACAGACCGACTGCAATAAGGGTATATACCCTCGCTGCGCTCGCAGGCGAGGGTTATTGCAGTCGGTCTGTGTGTGTCCGTGTCCCGTGTGTGTCCGTCTGTCCACCGTTTTTCTCGGTAACTGCGGCAACTCTGAGCGTGAAACGTGGACATATTAAAAAAGTGTATATACCCAATTAAAAAAGTGTATATACCCAAATGAAAACTGGGTACCCAAATAAAAAAGTGTATATACCCAATGAAAAGTGTATATACCCAATTAAAAAAGTGTATATACCCAAATGAAAACTGGGTACCCAAATAAAAAAGTGTATATACCCAATTAAAAAAGTGTATATACCCAAATGAAAACTGGGTACCCAAATAAAAAAGTGTATATACCCAAATGAAAACTGGGTACCCAAATAAAAAAGTGTATATACCCAAATGAAAACTGGGTACCCAAATAAAAAAGTGTATATACCCAAATGAAAACTGGGTACCCAAATAAAAAAGTGTGTGTACCAGAATGAGAACTGGGTACCCAAATTAAAAAAGTGTGTACCCAAATGAAAAAGTGTGTACCCAAAATTTAACGGACGTTGGTGTGCGTAATTTTGACACTAATCTCCCCCCATACATTCCAGGTTCGTATTATCATACAGCCGGCCTACCGTATGCTCTACGGCAGCTTTTAACGAAAACACCTGGAAATATTGAACTCTGCTGTGGAGGCATCCCACGGGATCCCCGAGCAGCCAGTGAGCGAGCATCTACGTCGTCTTTCCTGGCCTGCCTGGCTCTGCACAGCGGAGGGACCTGCTATTTATCCCCAACGCATCGGAGACTCTGCCGTCGTCACCCTTGTTGAGGTTCGTCTAGACATTGTTGTATGGATTCGGTAGACCCGTCGACAGGCAACCCCCTAACCATCCGTTGTGGCAAAGGCTACCTCAGTCATAGATTTTGCTACCCTAAGCAAGAATCATCTGAGCTGTCTGCTTGTTGCTGATGTGAACAAAACTGTGGTCGCTACACTCAGGACAACTATTTTTTTCCAAAGAAAAAAAGAGCTGCCCTGGGTGGGATTTGAACCCATTTGAATCCATGCGAGCGCTCTACCAACTCTTACCTCTCCTTTACACAAAACAGAAGGGACTATAATGAAATACTGAAACTCAAACTGAAACAACTGAACAGTCCGGAAAAAAACAAACTGAAACAGTCCGGAACCTAGTATGGACTCTCTTGCGTGAGGGTCTGGTGAGACTAGTAGTTCCTGTGTCCAGGTCTCCCGATTTTGTCAGACATAGCTGGTAGATGTCATCTCTGTCAACATGCCAGCACAGCAGCACACTGGTTATGCACTAACCGTGTAGGCAAGTATCACACAATGCGGTCAAGTGACGTGTGGGGGCTAGTGGTACATACCTGCTTCACAATTTTTGTATTTCATTATAGTCCCTTCTTTTTCGTTGACAGTCAAGATATGGCCTTCTTTAAAGGCAGCCCTGCATTAGCCATAGTAGCACTAATGCAAGAGATGACACCTACATGTATGTATATGGACTTTAGCACTTGTTGGTTTTAAGATATTGTCTACACTAAAATTATATCCGTGTGAGGTATTATCATTGAACCAAACACTAATCCACAGTTCATGCTAAGAGAGGGCTGTTGTGTGTTGTGGTTGGCCCCACTTTCACTCAAACCTGCACTTGACATCACTACAGTAGCAGTGTCAATATACAATTCAACTTTGGTATAGCGCACGTTTTTTATGTCTCCGTTACATCGTCGTACTGCGTAAGTTTCAGGTTTTTCTATTTTTCTATGGGTTTATTGGTCCTTTGAGGCTTTCTATTTTTTCTACGTGGCTGTTGTTTTTATCTGTAGCTGTCGTTTTTACATGATTTGTATCTATTTATTCTCTACTATGTGTAAGGGTGGTTGGGACGGAGAGTTGGGCCATAAAAGACTCTTTAAACCTACCGCCCCGGTTCTCAAGGCTGGGCACCCAGGGTCATGCCTCTCTCTTTCTGTTTATATTATTGTCTGTGTTTTGTGTGGTTGGGTGGGTGGTTTAAGGGTTCTTTCCTTTTCCTCTCATATTATCTTTTAGCTAAATATATGTTTTTTCATGTGCATGGACAGGGCCGCATTTAAGTTTAAACTCTCTCAACATGAGTATAGACACATCTGTGGGGCAAGTACATAGACTTACAAGTAAATAAAAAATCCTGCGAATTTAAAAAAGAGGCATATAGGGATCGTATAAAAAGAAAGGGAGACAAGATAGGGATTGTGTTTGTGGAAACACAGAGATGCTAGCGAGGAGTTAGGACTCCCACAGGTCATTACAACAGCCCTATATCGTCGTATCGGTGCTTTACTACACATGCGCACCAAGTTTCATCTCCATGCGTGGTACCGTTAGTGAGTTTGAGGAGTGAAGAAGTAATTTTAAAGAAAAGTCCTGAGGCTATTTGTTGTTGTGGTCGTCATGGAAACGATGTTACACATGTGCGTACCAAGTTTCATCTCCATGCGTGTGGGTACCGTTAGCGAGTTTGAGGAGTGAAGAAGTAATTTTAAAGAAAAGTGCCTGAGGCTATTTGTTGTTGTAGTTGTCATGGAAACGATATAATACACATGCGCACCAAGTTTCACCTCCATGCATGCTACAGTTAGCAAGTTTGAGGAGTGAAGAAGTAAATTTAAAGAAAAGTGCCTGAGGCTATTTGTTGTTGTTTACAAACATGTGTTGTTGTGATTTTTAATGTTGGTGATTGAATACATTATGTCTACAAAGTTCGTTCACATAGCTCGTACCAATTGTGAGTTACACTGACACATGTAGTATAACGTATTGCCCATTATAATGTATTGCCTGGGGCAATTTTGTTGTTGTTTACAGTAAACAACATTGTTTACAAACAAAAAAGTATGACGTTGCACATGTGGTCATCGATATGTACATTCCTACAAAATTTCACTCATGGCTTATCTCTTTCGGTTTTTGAGTATGCTGGTCGAAGAAGAAGAAGAAGAAGAAGAAGACGAAGATGATTGATGAACAAAACTCCCTATCAATAGCTCCATACATCTATGATGCTAGGTACCATGTCAATCCCTATATACTAAGTACTACCGTACTTAGTGATAAGTATGCGAATGTGTCTGCTTTACTAACTGTTCAGGTTGACTAACTTCCATTAGAGCAGTTTTCTAATCTGATAGTGCAATTAGTTACAAAGGAGTTGCCTGTTTCTAATGAGGAAGGAACAGTATTGGATAGTTATGTTCACCCCCAGGCACTCGCCATTTTAGTGCATGCCACACTCTAAGTTGGCTCTACGCCTCATAATGGAAAGCTGAGCTGTACTATTCCGAGTACAGTGAGAAATGCTGCAACATACTAGTATATAGAGACCTGACAAATGCAACCATACCTACATTATGCATAAGCAACCATTGCACCATTTGCTTCCTAAGTACTCTCTCCCACAGGTGCACACTAACTATACAGATATTGGCTGTGTGCTGCCATCCTTTGCATTTATGCTGCCACACCATCCCTATTACTGGACTTTGTAGATGGAGAATGACCCTGGGGTTGCAAATGTGGGGTTAAGGAAGCTGCGAAGCGTCTCTGGCTATAATATATGGCATTCAGAGTTCATTCGCTCACAAGGTAGTCTGGTTTTTAGAAATGACTCACTTTTACCAGATTCTTCTTAGATTCCAAGTCCTTTACTACACTGGCTGAGAAAAATGCCGAGTCTGGAAGAAGATGGAATACCCTATCTTTAGAACAAAAAAGTCGTTACAGGGATGAAGCAGCAGCATGCTCTACTCGTTTCAGCAGACACAATAAAAAGCGAGAGGTGTCAAGAGTGCTGAAACATCTGGAAGGAATAGTGAATATGCATGCAAAATATAGCCTAACATGTATTTTACATCTTGCTTTGTACAGAGTGAACATGCCGATATGGTACCAGGGTTAGAGTTGATGTACATTGCTGTAAGCGGTGGAAATCACTTTGTTGGTGGGACTGGACTAATGATGTTGATGAATCCTCGGAGTTTAATACTTCAGCCAGAGGGTAGGTCTTGTTTAGTTGGTTTAGTACTCACACTACCTGCATTAAAAGTCCCTAAGCTCTTAGTTGCAGGGAGGGGAAAGACCTATGGTGCCCTTTCCCCCTGCCCACAGCCAAACTGTTTCCCCCAGTATTTCCTACTTTTGCCAGAAGCCTAAGAATCAATCTAAGATGCCAACCTTTCTGGAGGTTTTCCCCATAAGAAATTAAGATGTGATTAGAAACATTTACACCAGAAGTTTTCCGAAATCCCTGAAAGTGGACTCTTACTGACCTGTGACAGCAACTACAGTAATGAACTTGCCTTATGATGTTCTTGTTGATTTTATTGCGTGGTTCATATTGTGTCTGTGCAGTGAAGACATGGAATCTTGTCAATCAGCTTCCGAGCTACCCGTACAGCCTAAAGCTGTGTTTCACGATCACTGTTACTGTAAGTGCCAGTATTAACTCTTGAATGGTGGACTTTTGTGGTGTGATGTTCATTGTCGTGTAATTCACTGTCATGTAATTCACTTTCAATCCCATTATACGTCATGATAAATGGACATGAACTTATACGTGCTCAATCATGAAAATATAGTCATCCCAGGACAATTAAAAGAAAACCTAACTATTAAGGATGACTACGTTGGATGAGGTCTATATCGCAATCTAATGCCACATAACTGCTCCAATCAGCAATATTATGTCGTTGCAACGTCGATCACCAGTCTCATGCACTCTAATTCACCGTGAAGGTTATAATATAACATCATGATGTTCATGTAGCAACACAATGACCATACACGAAAAAGTTAGTTAGTTTGCTCTGCTGGGAGAATCTGTGCAAAGTCTCCATCCAGACACGGCTGTATTCCTCTGATTCCTCAGTACGTTGTAGTTGTTGTGATACACAAGCAGCACCTGGTTCATCCATAGACCCTTTCGTATCATCCTGCACATAAACAATAAGATGCTCAAAGAAATAATGCATCAGTCAAGGTGTACTTACATTAGCATACGCAATAAAGTTGACAATTTGTTGTTGGCATAGTCTGATACGTTGTGTTAGTAGGCATATTGATCCCAATGTGTAAGTGTCCTGTGCACCAGTGTCTTGAAGGCACTTTCTTGCTTGGAGAAGACAGCTACGTTGAGTTGCGTAGTGATCAGCACCAATTCTTCATTTCTGCACTGCAGTCGTCCCACTTCTTCCCCGGCTCTTTGTTTTTCATGATAACAGCGCACTGCATCTTGTTGATACTGTCAGGGACAGTTGAGGTTCCAAAAGGAGTGTTGTATAGACAGACAAAGTTGTTGCATCCTCCCACGACATCCTGTTTGTAGTTGATGATTTAGAGTTGTACTCATTAATTTTAGTACTTCTTCAGTTGCCTGGTGACTACAGTGATACGCCTTGAGAGACGAATGGCAATTTTCTGCCATCTGAGGATGACAGCAAATATAGCTTTTTGTTAGTTGCAGAATACAATATCTTACTGTATACTTGACTTTTAGCCGGAGTAAGTGTAGACGCTCCCTCACTGCCGATTCAATTTCAGTCATAAGCTCTGACTGACCTGCATACAAAGAGTCTATGACGTAAAATGAGTGTGTCTTACTGCATTGGGGTTGGACTAAGGTCACTTTCCTGTTGAACCCAACCAACAATGTCTTCATCAGTAAATACAGCTAGGTATTACATAAGAATAGAGTGATAGAATTTGCATATATGTACTAAAGTCTACCTAACGACTTGTTCGTAGTTCCTTAGTTTTTGACTCAGCCTCTTGTTCGACACGCTTTGCATGATCTAATCGCTTGTTCAGTAGCTTACCTAAGAGTTAGAGTGATCACATGAAGCTGTGATTCAACAACATACTCATGTTTCTGGCCGTTCTTCGTGCATAATGAGCAAGGCATCAGTCAATACATCAATTCGGTGAGATGGACGCATTTCTTTTGTCATGCAGAGAACCTACGGAGGTATGACCACAGTCGCTCTAGTACCTCCCCATCACTTAGACCAAACCCAGGAATACTCCTTGGATTAAACTCAATCTGTGTGGCATATCCTCACAGTGAGATATACAATCCAGTTTGTATAGTGTTTTACCTGGCAGGCCATCTTATGGCATATGCATGAAACACAGGAATAGCAAGCTCAACGGTCCCAGCAAGTCCCTTCGTCCAGTATTCTAAAGTTTACGTTAAGAGTAAAAGGCAGAGGTAATTAAAATGAAGCTAACTTACCATTAGATGTTTTTTCAAAGTACAAGCAATGTCATACATGAATTGTATGTGGTGATACGAAATTTCGCCCTCAATTTCTCGAGTAAAAGAACAGAATCAGAGATCCTGCAATCAGGGGAGTTTGAAAATGAAGAAAGATACCTGTTTTGCACACTACCTTTCCCCATGTGAAGGCTAAGAAAACAATTGGATACTCGTGCCTACATGCTGCTCCCATCACACCAGTGTCATCTAGACGAGAATATCTCGATTTGAACGGAGAGCATTTCCAGCTAAGAAGTCACTGCATTGCTGTATAAAAAGCTAATACAACTTGAAAACGTAACTGTAACAAACCTGCGTGCCTCTATAAACAGTAGTGGGGACAGGAATAATGGGTGATGTAATTATTAACCATGGATTGATCTAGGAACATTTTTGTTCCACTAAGTGGCCCATGTGAGCTTGATCCTGCTGCTTTCTTTCGACACAAACCAAAGTTTCCATCAATGGAAATTGTCACAGTCCCTTCAGTCTATACGCGTAGTGCACAAGATAGGTAGTAGCTACCTACACAAGATTTTAACCTTAGGACACGCTGGGCAAGCTGCGGAGACATTTTCACACACACCCTTTAGTGATCGAATCTGTCCTTGTAGTATCTGTGTTAATGTCAATAAAGCACCACCCAGAAAACGAATGAATAACCTACCGATATTCTTCAAAGGCATCAATTAGCACAGGGTATGGTACAGGGCATCGGGAAAAGGATAAAAGTTAATGGTGATGTGTGTTACTGGCATATAGCACACACCTGCCGTAAACTCGCTGTGATCTTAGCTCTAGCACCGTAGCAAAATCTTTCACAGCCACCGACACTCAAGTAACGAAAGCTCTAGCCAGTCATTAGGGCAAAAGAAAGGCTACAGCAGGACGTTTAGGAGTGCCTGGCCAATAACGAAGTCGCATCAGTGTCAGTGCATCTGGTTCACACTCACAAAATGTCCTGAGACGTCTGTGGCATTCCTGTTTATAATAAAACTCAACAAAAATAAACATTCCCTATAACTTACCTTCTATGTGAAACAACGTAACAGATCGCGGCTTTTGCTTATCACATAAATGCAAATGTTGATTGAAACATAAGCCAGGAACATCAAAAGGAATGAAACACACACCCTAGGCAAAAAAAAACATATTTCAATACTGTATATTATGTGTATAGCTATACATAGCACTAACATTCCAAACTTCTGGACAATGATGGAAAAAGGAGGATTTATGCTGTAACACTGCACATCTTGGACAGAAGTATGAACACGGACCACACTGCAAACACCTAACTGTGGCTCTTTCTTCACAGCAGCATTTAACTTCAGGTAACCCAAACCCTTCAGTTAAAACTTGTGTTGCACTAGATCTCAAACTGTCCCACATTTCAGCTAACTTTTCTTTACGTTTGCTATGCGCTGAAACATCCACAGCACCAGTTTCAACAACATTTTCATGGCATATTATTTCCCCGGAATTTCACGATCCTCCACTGCCAGAGACACATCACTGGAAGTTAGGTTGGGGGTCGGTATCACAGAAACTATTTCCCTCCGAACACCAATGCGTGGTCTTCGACTTCGAGTGCGTGATACAAAATTAAGAGGTATTTCGTTACTTCTTCTAATGTGACGCATCGCAGCCATAATCTAGTGGTGTAAAGGGCTGTGTAGACACTGAGGTAACAAACCAATCTATGATAGCTGGCTTACTCTGCTCATCCAGATGGGTAATGACACAGTTTCACAAAACCCATGTATCTAGCTGGACGTATGTACCACGACCGGGCGCCGCGTCTAGTATACCAACCTCGACAGCAACACTGCACTGGTGGGGCAACAGAGTCACCCGGTGCTTCGTAGCTATGTCTAAACAAACCTCAACAAGTGCACCAAGGGCGACGACGGCAGAGCCTCCGATGCGTTGGGGATAAATAGCAGGTCCCTCCGCTGTGCAGAGCCAGGCAGGCCAGGAACAGTCTTCTCTTCAAAAATTGTATCTTTCACTGGTCCGTCCTCATCTTGAATATGCGTCCCAGGTCTGGAACCCTCATCTACAGAGAGACATACTTAAGCTGGAAGGGGTGCAGAAATTTGCACTTAAAATCTGTCTCAAGCAGTGGCACCTACCTTACAAGGAATATCTCTCTGTGTGTTCCCTACCTAACCTGCAAACTAGGAGGGATTACTGTATAAACTTATGTTTGCTATACAAGATTTTGAACAACATATGTGATTTTCCAGACTTTCCACTACAGAGGAGGACTTTCAATTATCCCCACAGAAGTATATACTTCTACATTTGTTTTGATGAAAGCAAAGTCTAACTATTTTCTTTCTTCATTCTCTCTAACCTATGGAATTCTTTACCTCCCTCTGTAACCTCCGCCACATCTCTATTATCATTTAAACACAACTTAATCAATCACTTAAGTGTACAACAAGTCTTATAGCGTAAAGTGCATACAGCAAAATTAAGTGTACAAAATAATGAAATGTAGGTTACAAAATGAAACTTAGCAATATTACACGATACAGATGGGGCAAAATCGCTCACAACCATTCACACCCACAACCCTGGTTTCGGCGCAGTCAACATGTAGCCACCGACCACACACACAAGAGATCCACTCAGTTCCCAGTCCTTCAGCAAAATCTTGGTAATTGCCAAAGCACATGCAGCATTCATCAGTGTCAATGTCCTCACTCTCGTCTTGAAGACATCTCCTCTTTGGCAGAGGTTGCACTGCGAGACCAGAAGAGGACTAGAGAGGAATGTTTGAGAGCGAGCTATCAGAGTGAGGAGTTGAAGCAGATTAGAGTGGTGAAGTCTCACATGGCAGAGTTGATTTTGAAGATGAAGGTGTTGCTTGATGCAAAATGTGCAACTCACTTTGACGTGAAACTTTGGGGATATGTTCAGAAAGAGAGTGTCCAGGTTCTTGTGTTGCACTGGGACGATGAAGCTCCAACCAACGACTGTAATCTGCATCTTTGGGGTCGTATCCCTCTTCAAACGGTCGTCTGAAGCACTCGACCTGATCATCGGTGAAGGACACTGAGGGATCATTAGAGATTTAAGTCTCCGATTGAGCCTCAACTGCAGATGAACATTCCTCCTGCACCTCAGTTTCCAGGTCACTAACAACTGGGTCAATGGCATTGGTGTTGAATGGATAGACACCACAGGTCTTAATGATATTTGACAGAGTTACTGCAAGAAGCCAGGCTTTAGAGAAAAGGGAATTGAAGTTAAAAGGTTAGCAACGATTGTGAGTGGGCGTATGTTTCAGATATTTTTTTCAATGGCACAGCAAAAACGCTTGTGATTTATGGTGAATTTAGGTATATTTCTCAGATTTTTCCTACCTTGTTTTCTAAACTCATTAGCATATTCATATTCCTCCTCAATACATTCTCTATGAGAGAGAAAACCCGTGCGCGACTCACCCAGGAGCGAACGGTCCATCTCCATTATGCGCAATGGCGTTCTTTCTGCCTCCTGCGGCACGCGCAGGCGTATTAGGCCGTCCCGAAAAATAGGCGTGGCCAAGTTTTGAGCACGTTGACCTTTGCCACCCGGTCACGCCCGTTTTTTTCTATAGCGCAAAATTAGCTTCCCGCGTACCGAAGCAGGCCACTGCGCATAATGGAGACGGACCGTTCGCTCCTGGGTGAGTCGCGCACGAGTTTTCTCTCCCATAGAGAATGTATTGAGGAGGAATATGAATATGCTAATGAGTTTGGAAAACAAGGTAGGAAAAATCCGAGAAATAATATATCTAAATTCACCATAAATCACCAGCGTGTTTGCTGTGCCATTGAAAAAAATATCTGAAACATACGCCCATGCACAATCGTTGCTAATCACTTTGTGCTGATTTTGCTAGGATTTTGCTGGATGAAATCATGACACACTGATGTACAGTGTGACTTTTAATTAAAAGGTGCGAACACACCACAATCAAGAGGTTGCATAGTGTGTGGAGGAAGACATAACATAATTATCCGATTTTCTTTTGCAACACAAGGCTGATAATGCGTGCTGTGTCCATCAAGTAAAAGTAGAAGAGGATGCATGGACACAGCATAGGTGAAGAAAATGCTCCACTAGCCAACCCTCAAAAACTCTGTTGTTATCCAACCTTTATCACTTAGCCCATACTTTGTACCTGGTATTTCGTTTTCGGTCCAGGCGTGGTTGATAATAGCATCAAAAATTCCCAGAGGGAGTTATAATAGTTTCGCGTGGCATGCCACGCCGAAACATCCCACCGCCACACGCGAGACTGAGACGACGGGCCGGCATGGCCATGTGCTGCATTTGTGTTGTTCGTCCGCTTTCCTTGCCTTACATGCATCAATTGGTCTATGATGGGTCTATGTGAGCTCAGACCCAGAAAAGCCTGCCTACACAAATAGTAGGCGGCAAAACACCAGGTCGAGCTGCTTTATTCTTTTCAGTCCAACTGCGAATTGCGCTACGTGTAAGTCCGCTGTCAGGCCACCACTCAGAGAAATGACCGTGGCAGCAAGGTAAGCGCGGCAGCAGCACTCGCGGAGACTAATCCTCAGTCCAGCATGCGCGAACAAGTCGCGCGGCTGGCTGGAGGCCGCTGGTAAGCAGGACTGAAGGCGGTGAGTCGGCACCGTATAGCCGGCGCAGAATGGTCGCCTCTCCCCCACTGGTGGAAAGAGAGTGAGCCAGAACAAAGCTAGGGCTAGAGTGGACGCACCGGAACGATGCGTCCCCTCACCGACTGGGCAAATTTCTGTTCTCGCCGAGTTTTTGTGCGAGACTGCGCGCGCGACCGAGGGGGGCGGGGCTGGAACTTCCATCGTAACCCTTTCTCCACTGTTTTCTCGAAGTGGTTCAATGGCGACGAAACTTTCCGGCTATTCAGAGAGAGAGAGGGCAGTTCTGCACGAGTGTAGGAGTAAATCTGCCCTCGGTGGCCTCAAGTGGGGTCTCCCCTCGCTGGTGCCTCTGTGGGCGGCCTTCAGAGCCGGACTGTTGCCGCGTTTTGCCGCGGCACCGTGCTACACCGTATCCTTCGTCCTCTTCTCCTTTCTGGGCGCCATGTCCAACAACCAGTCTTGCATCGAGAACATCCTTGCCCTGGAAGACTCGGAGCTGGCAGGCAAGCTGAGGAAATCCCTACCCAGACAGGCCCGGCGATACGACCAAAAGAGAGCACGAGAGAGCTCGTCTATGACCAGAGGCAGGGCTGAGGGCGATATGGCCTCCAGCGAGGCGACGAGGAGAAGAGTGGATATGTCGCAGTGGGTAGGCCAGGGTCGGGGGAGGGAGGGTAAGGGTGGAGGAGGAGGTGATGGAGACGGTGGGGCATTGATGGAGAGACAGGACAAAGGAAGGGGAGTTAGAAAAAACAAGTATGGGGACGTAATCTTTGATGACGATGTCAAGTAGGACAATCCTGCCTTGCTGGTTATCAGTTTACCTTCACCTCATCTGTGCAATAATTATTTGTACTGTATCTACTGTTATCAAGATTAGTGATTAAAACCACGAAAACTGGTAACTTTTCGACACCTCTGCATGCACACAATATCTATACTGTAGCCAGGTTTCATGGTTTAAATATCAAATTTTGTTGCCAAGATGAGTTAGAAAGAAACAGTTCACATTTCATCACAAAATTCTACCTTTAAAAACCTACACACAGATAACTAAGTCTTTTGTAAACAGTTGCACCAGTGAAAGATTTAGTCACTGAAATATATAGCCCGTGGCACTGCTATAAACTGATCCATTTTGGCAGGAGTCACTTGGTGACCTGGTGCATGGCTCTGGCTACAGCTCCCACGTTGCCCGGTGTGAGAGCAACCATGGAGATCCGGCCGTCCTTGGTCATGAATATTCCAAACTCTGACTGGAGTCTGGCCACCTGCTCTTGGGTCATCCCCGAGTAACAGAACATCCCAATCTGCTCCGTGATGTGGCTCCAGTCCCGCATTGAACCTGTGCCAGTTCACAGCTACTAGGTGAATGCTCCGAAACAGCAGTAACTGTGGTAGAATATTTTACACCTGCTATTTTACACAGCTACCTCGTGTAGCTCAGTTGGTGGAGTGCTCGCCTAGACTGCAGAGTGCCGTGAGTTCTCACCCAGGGCAGCTCTTTTTTCTTTGGAAAAAGAGCTGACCTGGGTGTAGTTGACTTGTTACCTTTGCCTTTGCCTTGCTACTTCGTATATAGTTGTCACATGGATATAGTTCACACTGTTTCCCACTGACCTTCTTTCTCGAGGCCATCTCTCAGAGCCTGTCTCATCTCCATGATCCTCCCAGCCATCAGCTTCAGCTCACCCAGCCTGCACATGCACATGAGTGGGGTGGTTTAAGGGTTCTTCTTTTCCTCTCACATTATTCTTTTAGCTAGTATGCTATAAACATGTTTTTTCATGCATAGGACAGGTTAGGATGCTGTAGCACACTGCACGTGAAACGTTACCACGAACCAGCTGGCATGCAGGGGGTTGTTGGACATGAACTGCAACCACACACCTTAGGGCCTGTATAAAGACTCAATAAACAGAACCCACAGGGTACGCCACCAAGTTTGTGTGTGAAAAACTCTGTACCTAGGGATTTTATACAGGGGCACAAAGTGGTGTACAGTGGAAGACACAAGTGCGACAGACACCAGTGTGACAGAAGAAAGTGTCCATATTATTGAGGTGTTATGGGTATTGGGGAAAGAAAATGTGTCCTACTAGAGGGGTGTCCTCAAGCGCGTCTTTAGAGAAGGGTTCCACTTCATAACTGGGGCTCAGTTAAGAGAACGGAAACTATTGTCAAGGGCTGGGCAAAATCCCCCTTTTCCCATAGAATAGATACTGGTTACCATTCATTGTAGAGAGCTGGAGTGTTGAGGATGTGTGTGGCGATGCGGGCTCCGTTGATGGGTGGGTTGGAGTAGAGTGGTCGTATGATGATCTTGAGCTGGGACTCCACCCTCTTGGCCTCTTCAGGATCACTGCACAACACAGTCATTGCCCCTACTCTCTCTCCTACAGGAAGAGACAGCACAGTCATTGCCCCTACTCTCTCTCCTACAGGAAGAGACAGCACAGTCATTGCCCCTACTCTCTCTCCTACAGGAAGAGAGACAGCACAGTCATTGCCCCTACTCTCTCTCCTACAGGAAGAGAGACAGCACAGTCATTTCCCCTACTCTCTCTCCTACAGGAAGAGACAGCACAGTCATTGCCCCTACTCTCTCTCCTACAGGAAGAGAGACAGCAGAGTCATTGCTACCGGGTTGATTGCCTACACTTTCTCTTGTTACTAGACAGATGCAGTGCTGGACACCAAGATGCTAAAACACTTGGAAATTTCATTTTTTAGTCCATAGCTTGGTCATACAGGAGGCAATACAAGTGAAATGTCAAAATGTCTCTCAGTGCAGGTCTAATGACTCCACGTCACCGTCACAACCTCGGAACGAAGAAGGAAGGAAACCGGGCGACCTCGAAACTTAATCAGCCTATAAAAGGACACTTTGTTCAATTTCGCGTATTAAAGGGCACCCCTGTAATTTCCATTGTCCCAGTGAATCCTTTACACAGGTTCAGCTACAGTGAATATAACTCCACCTGACTGTCATGTGACATCAGAACCTGATGAAAGAAGGCTCTATAGTCCTATATTTGAAGTGTCCTTTACACAGATTGTCCACTGCAGGCATTTCCTCTTTGTACTTCCCATTGGATGGCAGAGCACAATGCCAGTGTTAAATAGAACATGTGGCTGTTATCATCCCTAGCCTTGCAAGAGTGGTCAGGCACATTTCTGGTGGTCACATAACAAGTGACCTGTTTTCTCAGCAAGATATCAACACACCTGCTGGCTGGTTTAGCCCACCACATCAGCCCCCACATCATCCCACACCATACATCATCCCACACCATACATGGGGGACACATACTGCATGTGAAAAGAAAACTGCACCCAGGACAGGTCTTTTTTTTCAAAAGAAGAGCTGCCCTGGGTGAGATAACCCATGACACTCTGCAGTCTAGGCGAGCTCTCTACCAACTGAGCTACCAGCTGGTTAGAGGTTCAAATCAACAACACAAAGGATAACCTCAAACCACTGTGAATGCAATGTGTTTTTGCCCAGGGAGTAGTTGACCTTGTAAGACTAAGTTGTGAGAGTTACAGGAAAACGTGCAGCAGCAATGATTGCAAAATTTCAGTTGCATGTATGCATTTAGGATCACCTAGGACATTCCAGTAAGGGTGGCAATGTTGGATACAGCTGGCAATGGTTGGCTCCTGCCGTTGGGCCAATAACATGCATGGTTAGCTATGAAATTTGTTACTTCATACTAAGTTTTGAGTCACGAAATTTGTTGTTGGTTACCCAATGCATAGTATGCCATAAGAAAAACAGGTTATGAACATGGGTTACGAGCTAAGAACAATGAAAATGCTGACCAGCTGATTTCGTGACTCAAAACTTACTGACCAGGTAAGACTAAGTTGTGAGTCATGAAATCTGCTGGTCAGCATTTTACATTGTAACCCATGTTCATAACCTGTTTTTCTTATACCATTGGGTAACAAATAACGTGACTCAAAACTTAGTCTTAAGAAGTAATGAGGCTGCTCTCTGTATAGGCAGAGACCTGCTGAACATGCAGGGCAGCTCAGCAGGTACGTGGGACTCAAAACCAACAACCGTACTTACTATAATAAACACACAATGACTAAATACCATAGAGTCCAAGGTTCTTGGAGAAGGACTGGCAAAGGAGGAGATTGTGTCCGTCGGCTGCCAGCTGCCTCACTCCTGCAGCATCGTTGTCCAGATCCCCAGTGGCAAATCCCTGGTAGGCCATGTCCACCACCACAAAATGACTTCTCTCCTGAGGTGGGGAGCGAGTGCGTACTGAGTGAGAGTTTACTGTGGTACAGCACAGTTACGTAGTTGAGGTTTTGCATATTCCTATGTAGTATCATATTGTGTTTCAGATATGAACCGCTCTCTGCTGAGCTGCCCTGGTGTTATAGCTCAGTCATTAAGAGCACTCTGTCTAGACTGCAGAGTGTCCTGGGTGTAGTTGACTTGTTTGCTCTGCTTCCCCCTCATGGCCTTGTTAAAATGTGCATGAGACAACTGGGGGGGCGGTAGATTGTAACGGGGCTCTAACTAGTATTGCTTTGGCTGATCCTCATTTTAGCGAGGTATGACTTGACAACATGACTTGAAGTGCAGTACAAAAGATCAGGCTGGAAGTAAAACACAGACACTTTATGCCAACCTTGCATATTCTTGATATCTCTTTCCACTCGGCCATCTAGAAGTGTATCACCATACTTTGGTCCAGCAGTGATATAACCAGTGGTTTACCTTGGGGTCGACTCCGGTGGGGTTGTGGGCACACGCATGAAACAGAACAACAGACTTCTCCGGTAGACTCTGGGGAAAGAGAGATGTAAGAACCATACCAACAGCTTCCCTATTCCCCATTCCCCCGTGAGAAGATATCATGCTATAGGAGCATATGTATGCAACAAGTTGAACATGCTCTTTCAGCACTGAAGGTAACAGACTCATTATGCTCTGCATCGTAGTGCTAAATACTGTAGCAAGGTGGTCAATGTATACCAGCATGGTCTATCGACATAGCGACATTAACACACGAAAGAGAAAGGTATACAGTGTCTACCTGTAGGTCGTGGTAGAGGCCTGTGGAGTCTAGACCACAGGTTGAGGAGTCGTAGTAGCTGTAGGACTTGACCTCCAGACCTGAAGAACTGGGGGGAGTGGTGAAATTAGAATATTCTACCCACCTTGACACTTTCCTGGCAATTAACATACCAGCATGCAAGTGCTAGATAGCATGGATATACAGAATAGCTTTTTCAATGCCCATCTGTGCGTCTCACTTGCAATTATACACTAGGGGTGAAAGGTGTGTGGAATCAATTCTGGGTTCTCAGTGGGCATAAGGCGTTTGTGCTGTGCTAACCCTGTCATCTTTAGCACATGCAAATACGTACACTACCAACCATTTGTACGGTGACTTTTCAAAACAGAAGAGTCTAGGCAGGTTCTGTGACGTAACATTGGGTTAATCCCAGAATGTGGCTGCTAACAGTGGCACTAGTAGACAAATGTTACACACAACAACTAAGCATCTAGAGAAGTAACCGTAGTTGTGTAGTTGTGTAGTTGTGTACCGAGGGTCAATGACAGAGGCAGTGGGTGTGTATACCTGAAGACTGGCTTGTGGTTGGGCCAGGAAGGGTTGGGCAGGTAGATGGTCTTGGAGCCAGGCCAGAACTTAGCCTGTGGAGTGAAACATGCTACTAGACATTGATACATGAGAGATGGAAATTTTTACTGTACTCATTGAAAGAAAGGTGCTGGGGAAGAGTGTGTTGGATGGAGTCAAAACTTCCCATGCTGTTAACTAGTGTGTGTGTGTACACACACTAACCAGGAACATGCCGGCCAAGCGCAGGGCCCCAGTTCCAGAGACTGTCTGAGCCGCCACATACTGCGAACACAACGAATTTTGTACATACACGTCGTCATACTTAATTTATAGTGCTTAATACGTGCATTAAGATGTCATAACTGCCCTGGGATAATAACCATATTTTTCTGACATTTGAGCAAAACTCCTGGTGTGTATATACAGTACATACAACATGTGGTAGCAGTACTAGAAAGAGGCAAAAGGGAGTTAATCAGACACTCAAATCTAGACTGATTACAAAATGAAAAGCACTAAAGTGCAAACCCTCGGTGAACTGCGCATGCGCGATACTGCTAATTGGTGGGCTGGGCTATTTGTATGCGTTTACTCGTGGAGTCATGGTCTCCTGCTAGTAGCTTGCGAAGAGTCTGACACGAGCTAGATACAGTAGTAGATAGCATGTGGGAGTTGATACATGCCATTCGTTGTGACTTCCTGAGCCCCCAAGGTACACAGAGCGAGCAGATCAGGTCGCGGTAAGCCCAGTGAGATTATGCATGTTGGCTTTTTCGCTTGTTTTCACGGCATATCTCTCGAATGCAGTTGTTTCAGAAAAATCACCACAAATTTTCTGACCTTCATTGCCCGTTAAGTAAGTGTATCGTTTGTGAGGCGAAAAAACATTGGAGAACAGTGAGATAGTAACAGACAGACAGACAGACAGACAGACAGACAACCCAACTACCGTACCCTCGATGCGCATGCACGCCGAGGGTAACAAGGGACAATGTTTACAGTGCCAGCTACATACATCAGTCAGGGACATACCGATTTCTCTGCTAGTTGGCTGAAGTTCTTTCCAAAGGCGAGGGTAACGGCAGACTCCTGGAAGTCCTCGTAACCAAGAATCCCTGCATACTCCTTGTCCAGGTCCTTGGATGTCAGCTCAGCCTCTGCCTACACATGGAGCAAAGACCCTACCTATCACATTGTGGTAACAGCTAGTGCTGCACTAACAACCTCTACATACAATCGGACAAGCACAACTAAAGAAATGGGAAAGAATGTGGTGTGTGAAGTAGCTATATCTAGCAATGGCCACCCTGCACTCATTCAGGGGTAGATTGAGTTTCATATGATGCCAGATCCCCATGAAACTTGCCTTCCTGACGGTAGGGAGAACAAAGGGTTTGTTGTTGGCGTCACGATACGCCCCTATAGCCAGACTGATCTTCTCCGGTCGAGGGTCCTTCTTGAAGGCCTCCACCAGTCCGAATATGGCGTCTGGGGGACCCTGCTCCACGTGGGTCCACCATGACCTGCAGTAGTTTCACCTCCTGAGCTATGTTATAGTCAAGCTAATCACGGGCTCACGTGGTCCTGGTTGAAGCAGACACCAGCAAATGCCTTATTCTGGCGAGCCTACCAAAGTTCCAAAGAGCCATGGCTGTGTACTCAACTGTTTGAGCATGCGCGTACTTAATTTGCACATTTGCGCATGCGTAACACATAACGATAATTCATCTCCTCTCCCAACGAGCTATGAACTCAATCTTTTATGTATTTAAACATGGATAAATATTTTCCCGCAGTTGTGGATAAGCCCTTATGATACACCTGCGCATGTCTTGCAACGAAGCTCCTCAGCTGATGGATTGCTACGTATATAGAGAAAATGAGACCATGTAATGAACCATGTCACAAACCAAGGGGATACTGTTTGAGTCCAATGTATTCACTTTCAATTGGACTGAGCTAGCTACGTGTGATATAAGGCTCCACATAATGGCTAATGTGGTATAAAATCAGAGTGGGCTTTACAGTGTGCATTCTATCACCCTAAAACAGAGTTGGGCGAAAAGAATCAATACTCCCCCTCTAAACAAACAAGGTATATACATTTCAGCAAAACAATGCAGAATTTATAATATTATTATAGTAAAGTTTGATTGTCGGCTTTGGAAGTCAGGGTTCACAACATACTATCCATACTACATGGGTAACAAATTTGTGAACCCTTTATTTTCTCGCACTGGTGCCCATTACGACACAACCCTCTTAGGGCAGAGGGCAATAGTGCTGAACCTGCAATTCCTAATTTGCTCCAAAACTTCAGGCGCCACTTCCTTGGGCAGCCATAGTTAGAGTGATACAGAATTTGGGAGGTACTTATTAGTAATCTGATTTACTTGAAAAGCATATTATGATATAATGTGTTTCCTCTCTACATTCTGGCATTGGTTGGTGCCATAATCATTGCCAGCAACTATTCCACACGAGTGACTCGGCTGTGGAAGCTATATACGTTGATGGTGTGTGTTGTTCACTTCCCGAGGACAAGGTGCAAACCTTCCTTCAACATCTCAACACCCTGTCACCATCCAACCATCGATTCAGTTGATGGAGAATGACAATATACCTTTTCTTGGTGTACTTTGGCTCCACAGCCAGTGAGAATGGATTTGATTTCCATAAGGGTTTATTATATAAGCCAATACCGGTCGATACCTTGATTTCTCCTCTCACCATCCTGTCACCCTCAAAGCATCAGTGTGAAGGACTCCTCAGAGTCGTGCTGTGGCACCCTCTTCCTCTCCTGACGCAGTCAACGAAGAGCTTTCCAACATTGTCAAGGTTCTGACCGCGAATGACTACCTGAGAAGGTTTCTTAACAGACACCCCCAGAGACCCTCATCTCATGGAGGTAATCAAACACCAACCTCCACCATTGTCATCCTCTACATTGCTGGATTCTCTGAGACTCTCGGGCGAATCGTTTTAGGTGTGAATGTTTACTTTTCCAACCCCCACATGCATGACTCTCCAAAAACTGCTGGTTAGAGTAAAGGACACTACACCCCTGTTATATAATTGACATTGATAGTTGTGTACAGCATCCCTTGTAGGTCTTGTACGGGCGGCTTTACGTAGGACAAACTGACCACATGCTGAAAACTAGAGTGGATGAGCATAAACCAGCAGCAAAGACCGATATTCCCGCAGTTGCCACGTCTGGCTACACAAACATCAGATTGACTTTCAATCAGTTTCTATATCCTTGCTCTAGTTTCTGCACTAATACTTTCTATTGCCCACCTTTCTGACTTCCTGGATATATGATGTCATTAGTATTCATTCCTGATTATAAAGTAGTGGTTGGCACCTATTGTACTACACTGAAGAGGATTGCAGACTGCAATCGTAACTAGTGTGTGAAAGAATATTTTTTGACTGGAGTATTTCAGTGAAATGATAATTATTTTGTCACATACCACATTCAGCTGCAGCACATACAATTGTGAACTAACACAAAAATCGTGCTAGGTTTTCACTGTTCCAAAAACACCAAATTGACTTCCTGACTGTTTCATTGCGGGCTCTTAGGGATGAAACCGCACCAAATTCTCTGGCTAGAATAAGATCTAATGCCGACTGGTCATACCTGTGACACCCGACATAGTGACCATCGTGTCTGTTTGTCAAATGACAAGGTTTTATTGTAGCTCCAGCTGGAGCTATGCATTCCTTGTGTAGAGCACAGTCCAACCAGGGCTCGATCAATACCTCCTTCATCATAGCATTAGCCCATAACAGCCAGCCACCAGCCTGAATGGAGTACATGTTTGCCAAGGCCTCCCTAGACTTTGGATACTGCAGATACTCAATCATTCCATCATGAGTGAACTCGATTGCTATGTAGCGCAATCTTCCTGCAGCAAATAAGGGAAAATGCAATAGGTGTTCGAGTGCCCTTCTTATATCACATGATCTCATTCTCATGCTTGCATCTCCGTACATGATTATATCGTAATCCAGGGACACTTTATGTATTACGATTGGTTTCCACGCATATGTCCGAAGGTCTCTCACATAAGAAAGGTTCTTGTAGTCACTAAACGGGAACGGTTGTATTTCAACAGTTTTATACTGTTGTTTTATTGTTCTTTTGTTTTTGTCATTCAATCCGAGATCATAAAGAATGATCTTGTTATGTGGAAGACACGTCTCTACCGAAGAAAGCATGCCAAGAGACTCACGAAAATGGTTGTCAGAGATTGCAGTGACAGTAACGAGACGCCGCATAAAGGCTTTCACCGTGAGGCGACCGTCGTCTGAGCCATCTTCCAGCGTCTCTTCCAGTGGCGAAAGGTTCACGGAACTTAGCTTGAGTACGTACGATGCCACCAATATTCCTGCGATGAAGCCCAATAGGTAGCTAGCCTGCAACTCGATTTGATAGGGAAAGAGAGAGACACGACACAATCCCCATTATGGAGCCACACCAACTAACTGAACTCAACTAAACTTCATGGACTTTTAGGGGATGCGCACTCCATAGGGCGCACACAACAGAGGAAGTTGGAAGGAATTGCGGTTGCCGGCGGAATCGCGAAAGAATTCCAATTCACCGGTGACAGTCAGAGGCTCGGTCAGAGGTGCTTACATCCGAAGTTATGGCCGAGTTTGTTAGCTCAAAGTTTGCAGGATCCGCTTGAAATCGTGCAGAGAGTTGTAGGATGTGCTTATAAAAGGTATTGTACAGCTTTATAAATCTCGTGTACCCGAGTGGTGCGAGGGCGTACGCTGTAACTCGCTGGGTAACCAGGGGTAGAGGGGGTTTGACCATATTTTCAGTATGTTCTGCCCAGGATAGACCTACCTGTCTACAAAACCACGTAGATACATTCTCTACGGAACACAAACTGCTGACTCAGCAAAATTGCAGTTTAGGAGATCGCCCACGCAAAACTATTCCGCGCAGACCACCGCGCTATATAGCCGCTCGATATTATCAGTAAAAACCTGATCCTGAAGACGTCATATCCGTAGTGTCTGAAACCCTCTTCCTCTATCGAAGTCCGCGGTGCTCCGTTACGACGGAATGGCCCCATATAAAAGGGAACTTTCGGATATTGCCGATAGCCAAAAATGCTAAGAGGACTTGCAAATATCACGCAGCGGAGGTTTGCCACTGGCGGCAATGCTGGTCGCGGATCACCGAGAACGGCCCGAATGCCGAGACGGGAGGCAATGGCCAGGCGTCGCGAAGTGTCGATCGTGCAGATGAACGAGCTGTACGCACGAGTAGTCTCCAGTCATTTCGGATACAAGACGAACAGAAGAAGAGTCATAGAATCCAAACTTCTGGAAGGTATCACTGCAGAATCTACAGGAGATGAAGTGGCAGTCGCTTTCACACGTTTGTCCTGACTAAAGACGCCGACAATTTGGAAGAGTTTGACAGAGTCATGACACAGGGCTTTACCTCGGGCGGCGTAGAGCCATTGACTACAGCTCTGATGGACCCCGTAGTAGCACAAGGTTTGAACCAACAGCCCCTGACTAAAGAGAGTTTTGCTGAATTTGTCAGAGATTCTCGTGAGTATGCTCAGGATGACAACTTCAGCATTGCAGTTGAGGTGAATCCATCCGGGGCAGCTGATGGTTGGGAAGTAGCTGGAGTCATAATCCAGTTTCTGGAGGGGTACATTGCAAAGAACCCCAGGGAACAGAAAGAATTCAGTAATCTAAATGACGATGACAGGGCTAGATGGGTAAGTGAGGCTAAGGCTATACCACGTAGCCAGGATTTCATCGAAAAGGTTCTTGAGAAGTACCATTGGACTGAGCATCTTGGTGGTACGCTGGATATGTTTGATATGAAGGAGGTTTTGTATGGACCAGATCCCATCACCTGCCAAGACAACGTGGCATATGGATTTATGACGGGCGTTGAACCCAAGTATCAAGGAATGAGTTTGGGAGGTTTGCTTTTTCAAGCGCACGAAGCACAGAACTATGCAAAGGGAATCGATGCATCCATAGGGGAGCTTACTAGCGTTTCTCGTGTTCTTGGGCGAACATTTGCATGGAAGAAGCACAAGGAAGTGCTGTACAAGGATTACATGGTATGGAGGTACCTGACCTCCAATGGAACATATCACATGCCACCAGATGGAAAAAGATACTCTCAAGAAGAGATTCTCAGCAAAGGCCTTGTTGGAGAACACAAGCATGCACCCTGGGCTGACATTGATTGGGTGGGTCCTCCTCATTACCAAAAGACGGACAGAATTCAATATAAACCTGATCTCAGATATCCTGGGGGATGGCACAATGGAGGAAAGAGACATGCGATTCCAAGTGTCATTCGTGGAGGTGTTGCAGCATACAAAACGTATCCTTCACCACTGCCAGTTTTGTACGATGAGAATTTAATTACTTCTGCTGCACCAGCATAATAGAGCCTCTCCTCATACTCTAAAAAAGAAATGTATAATGTGTCAATACTGTTCCTATGATAGTTTAATATTGTACACTATGTATTATTCAAGAGCATGATAGTTGAATTACAGATTGAATATCTCTCCCCCTTCTGCACGTTAGCTATCAGGAACTACTGTAATGTTATTGTGTCATATTTTGTTTGCAAGACAGTGTAGATGTGGGTGTGCATGGTATGCAACTTCTGTGATTCACAGGATGAGTAGAGGATGAGTAGAGGAAGTACACACAACCCTACAAAGGAAGTTACACATCCCCATTACAAGGAAAGAGGAAAGGAGGACAGCACAAGGGATGCATAATGCTGCAGGAAATGACGTAATAACATCACACTTGGTAACTTTGGTATAATTATACAGGTATCGAAATTGACACAGGAGTGTCAGCAAACTAAATTACTGCGCATGCGCACAGACTGGGTGTCAATCTAACCAAGAAAAATCTGCTTTGCGCCTGATCTTTGTCTTCCCGAGAGCAAGCCAGGCTCTGCCCCGTTCCAGCGTCCGAGGTCTTCCGCGACAAGAGTGCACGTGCGACCGCGCCTGGCGAGCCTGTGCTTTCTGCGCGTGCGTAGCCGCAACTACCATCGCCTAGTGACGTGACATACTGCACTCTCGCCATTGGCTTGCACGCGGGAGCATTCTCATTGAAGTTTTAGTAGTAGTAAAGGGCAACGGATCCATTGCTGGGCTTTATCCATTAGCACAGTCTAATGATGCACCACTCCACTCCACTCCATTCAGAGGACTTGTTGATATTTTTGAGCAGCATCTTGGATATTCCACATTGATCCTTGCTGAACCTTCACTCCTGAGAATAATTGATAGCTACACCATTTTCTACAAAACTCTCCAGTTATATAGAAAGAGTAATACTGCCATCACTAATTATGCCTTTCCTACAGACTGCCTTTTACCCCCCACTTTTTTTATTTTTATGGTGTCATTACTCTGTGTGAGCTGCATGACGTAGGCATACAAAATTTTCACGACACTCGCCTTGCCTGTACGTGCTTACCTACCACTGGTTCCCTCTTTTGTCAGCCTATAATATGTGTTGTTATAATTATTATAGAACAGCAGCGTGGAGACACACACTGATCACAGGTGGACAGAGTGTAAATAGTAACCCTTGCTGCGGATGCATCAAAACAGCACACAGCCAGGAGGAAGACCTCCCAGCAACTGATCGTTAATGAATTATAAATAGTGAGAGCATGTCAGTGACCTCCCACTGACTATATTATGAGAGCATGTCAGTGACAAGGAATACACACATTGTGCATACATGACTGTAAAGGACTCTGGATAACAATCTATGCTCTGGCTCTCTCATAAACTGTGTCACGATCAGAGGAGTGATGACAATGAAATGATGATGGAGGTGAATGTTCCTGTGTGAGGGAGGCCAGCTGCAGTAGACAGTGTTGCTCCATACTACCAGCTGACACGACTTCCAGTAGCTTTGATACAGCCTTCTCTACCGCCACCTCTGACCTACGCAGAGGAGGATGAGTGGGGTAAAAGGAGATGGTAAGAGAAATAGGTATACAGTCAGAACTAAAAAGAGAGGCTTACCTAGTATCATGAGTCTGTGGCAGTGTTCTCTGAAGCAGAGACTGTAGAGGGTGAACCAGGTTGGTTGTCTCTTCAACAGTTAGACAGTGCATATGTCTCGCCAAAACCTATCATAAGTTAAACAGTGCAATTCAGAATAGCATCATTGCTGCATTTAATTTTTCCTTAGGAGACAGTACAGGGGTGTACTTTTCCACTCTTAAACTACTGTTGAATGGTTTGAGATGGTCGGTTCGGTTTGCTTATGTTTCGTTCAAAATGTTACTGGAAAGGAAAAGGCGATAACAAGGAATAAGAATTATATGTATAGCTAACTGGCACTGCACATACTGTGAACGCATAAAAAGATGTGAAAAATTTGAACGGCTTGCTTCGTTCAGCAAAAGATGTTCTGGTATTAGGGATGGTCAGTTAGTCATTTTGTTTTACGTACTCACGTCCCTGAAAAATGCAACACTGTTCAAACCATCATCAAAGTATATAGTTATAACAGAGTATTTGAGCTGGTTGGTACGGTTGGGGCCGGGGGTAAAAGAATGGGCAACATAGAGTTGCTGTATCACCCGCCAACTATAGTCATGGTATTTCAGTTGGCAGGTTTGCAATTTCATTTACCCATGTCCCTGCATGAAATGCAAAACCCTAAGGTAAAGTGGAGGGGAAGGGACAGTAAAATATTCACCGTATCATTCATTTACCCACATCCCGTTAATTGGGAGAGGGGTAAGGTATGGGTAGTAGGGCTAGAGGTTTACTCTTCCACTAGAGCCGTGGTATTCCACCTTTAACCAGAGGAGGTTTGACAGGAAGCTATAGAACGGATGTATATTGGATGTGCTATTACATTCCTGGAATACTTTCACCTGCTGTATGTGCGTACGTCTTTTATTCCCAGATGGAGCATGTATGTACAGACAAAGCTCCCAATGGCTCTCAACTACGACTATGAATGTAGGTCCACTTTTGAAGTAATCAGGTTCTTTTACGTGTACCAAAGGGTACAAGGTATGTATTGATAGCTTGGATGAGTTAATCCAACCTACTGTTAAGACAAAGGTTGTGGGCTACAGTGGTGAAAAGTATTTTTTGGTGCACATGATCCATGTTTAGTCGACCTTTTGACCCTGCAGAACCTCCTCTGACCCTCAACTATGGCCACACAAACAGCTGAACGACTAATTCAGGTGGGGTGAGTGGGGTCCCTTGAGCTGTCTGAGTCTCCTCTTTTGCTCTTGTAGGCCTAAAGCTGGATTAGTAAGCTGTCTTTTTATGGACTCGTTACGTCTCTGCCGGAAGGTGGAATAGCAACACCCCGTTTCAATTTTCCTGATTTTAAATGGATGTGTCAGTAGTACATAAGGACTAAATTTAGAAGTGTTACTAAAGATAGAACTAAACAATACGGCCCAGTGCAAAAATGCTTTAGGTTTCCGTTTTTAGTAACACTTTGTCTTATATACTGCCACATACCCCTTTAACCCCCCACCCAACCTGAGACACAGAACACTTTCAAGACAGGGCTGGGACATCCCAATCCTGCAATGTTGATGACTCTTTATGATAGTACACTCTCACAGAGAGCACACACAAATTACACAAATGACACAAATCAGGGCCATGTATTATCATGACAGTAAACTACGTTTCAAGACTACAATTAAGAACTACCTTTGTATACTAAACAACCATCAAACATTAGCTACAGTACTTACAACCATGAAGTCATCGATATCAGATGGAGACAGTGGGAATTTTAGGAGATGGCGAAAGGTGCGCTCATTAGGGAGGATCCCCTGGGGTAATGACACAATGAAATAAGATATAATTATTAATGTCAAATGAGGAGGAGGAGTGAGAGGGGGAGGAGGAGGAGTGTGTGGAGGAAGAGGGGGAGGAGGAGGAAGAGTGAGAGGAGAAGGAGGAGGAAGAGAGAGAGGAGGAGGAGTGAGAGGAGGAGGAGGGGGAGGAGGAGGAGGAGGAGGAGTGCGGAGGGGGAGGAGGAGGGGAGGAGGAGGAGGAGGAGGAGTGAGAGACTGACTCTGTGAGTCATGTGGCCGAGGAAGAAGGTTGCCAATCTTGGTCCGTGGTTTAGTCTACAGGACTGGAGGAGGGCGTGGTAGAGTCCACGACCCCATACCTCCTCCATCACTACTGCAGGCAAATGCATTACAAGTCAATGACATCTAGGAAATTTGTTCTCAAGCTGCCCCTGGCCCTGGGTGCAACTCGAACCCATGACACTGTTCTCTAGAAAGAGTGCTCTATATACCTAGAACAAACGGCATCCATTTTTGGTGAGCAGTTCAACGTTCAATTTTTTCGCATGTATTGATAAACATGTACATAGAACATTACGGTACATGCAGCGGCAGTGCAGGTGACGAAGTATAAATAACATAAAGACGACTTGGTAGGCTCCCTTCTCTCGCCAATTATACGCTGGCGGTATTTGCAACATGTTCTAAAGTTCACCTCCTGCACCATGTCATGTATGTACCTACTAGACCAGGACACCTGCTGCTCACATGCTCTGTTGTACATGCACAGAGACTTCTGTTTGATGGGCAATTTTATTACAAGGATTGTCCATTAAAATGTAGGGGGTGCTGTACATTCTACATGTACATTACATGTGTACATGCACATGAACATATGACTGAGTGAGTAACTCAAACACACTGTCTGTATCTTGTGCATATACAACATACATACACGTGTGCATACCTCCTGATACTGGCATCTCAATAACAGACAAGACAGGGAACATAGACTACATGTGTTGATACATGAATGTTACATGAGCACAGTTTGGCCGGTGGACTAACTGTTTGCATTTTCCTCTCCGTGATCCCTTACAACTGCAGTGTGGCACAGGTCATACTGGGGAGACAGAGAACATGAACCATTGTACAAGCCTATATATATACTAGTAACTAGTTAGCATATAACCACCCACTTGGCTTCTGTTTACATTACAGCTATGGACAGCACAATGCAGGGTTACCAGGATTATGAATATTAGTAGCATCTACAATATCACTGGGCATTGGTGTACAATAACATAGTACACCACAAAACTTCAATTCCAGTTAACACACCCTGCAGTACAGGAAGGCTTCATGAAAATGCACACTCAGTCACTTTTACAACACGTGAAGAACGTGTCTGTGTGTGTGTGTAGGTTGTGTAGGGGAAGAGGACTGACCATGAGGTGGAACCCACGAGCCCCCAGGAGCTCAGTGAGAGGTCTGGCACACTCTGAGAACACCCAGGCTGGGGGCCAGCCTCCAAATGACACCACACTACCTGCAGGGTCAGGAGAGGTAATAACAATGTGTGAGTAATAACAAGGAAATTCCATGGCTTAGCAGCTTCAACAAACAAGACCCTTTGCTGGCAGGGAGCAATGAATGTATATTATATAGCAAGCCTAGATAGCAAACTGTAAGAGGTTTAGAGTTTTCTCTACTGAATTATTAAAGCCTCCCCCCCCTATGTCAGACATTTCAAACCATAGAGTACAGTAATAAGAGTGTCCTTTATTCAAAAGCTTACATTAGTGTCAGGTAGAATTAAGTGTCATTTATAGAGAGGTTATTCGGAGCGTCCTTTTTCAGAGTTCTCACAGTAAACTGCTATAGAGAGTATTCCACTAACCCTCCAACATGCGGTAGGCAAAGGCGAGTCGTAACTGTCTCCACTGTCTGTTGGCGGCCAGGGCCGGGGCACACAGGAGTCGGCCCACTCCCTGCAACCCTCGTCTGGTGGGGGCCAGAGCGTGGACCAGGGTCATGGAGGTGAAGGTCTGGTAGGCCAGTCGCAGCTGGAGGCTCTCGGCACAGACAGCCAGGACTCTCTCAAAGGCCGTGGCAGACACAGAGGCTTGTCTCGGTGGGAGACGAGACACCAGAGCTGACACGGTCTGCGATGGACTGGGGGGAGGAGGGGTTGTGGAGAGGAGAGGGGGTGAGGAGAGGGAGGGGAGGTAGATGTGAAGGAGCAGAAAGAGAATAGATGAGAGGAAATCTTGAGGTGAAGTAGACATGAGGGGGGTTAAATGAGCATGACCAGTGAACCAAACAGACCGAGTGGAACAGGGCATACTGGTACACACATCCAATCTCGCTTTATTGGCATTTCTTGATGAATTATCATCCCCTGCTATAATTTAAAACGGTATTTTGGATCTCGTAATTCAGAAAAACCAGCTATTCCATTTTCACTCCCATCAGCAACAAATTATATATATGGGTTACACTGTATCAGTAAGTTATGATTTCTCACTCTGACTGGCAGTGTGTGGAGGTGCCACGTCTCAAGTTGCCAGCAGTCCTCAGACATGCTCTCACCAGCTCCACTGACACACTGTAACAGCAAGGACAAAAAAGAGCATTGGGAGGTGCTTATTAGCCTGTAGCTGCAGTAGTCTTCAGTCCATGGGCCTTCCTCAGGTTTTGAAGACTCCCATGCCACAAGCTAATAAACACCCTCACAGTTATCTAAGAGCATTCACACTACTGTGTCATGCAGACGGTGTGTTTGAGAGAATCCTGCCCTGAAAAACGCATTGGGGAAAAAAAAAATGGAGCAGTCCTGGGTGTAGTTTACTTGTTTCTTTTGCCTTTCCCTTCCTACATCAGCTCATTACCACCAACCAACATGCAACAGCTACAGCATGTAGAATGCTTTTTCAGTACACCTGCAGACAGTATACAGAGAAGGGGGCACTAGTGGCTGACCTTTCGTCCCCCACGTACTGAGAGGTGGCCATCTCATCCCAGACGGCCTTCACCTGACTCTCCTCCCTGGACAGACAACAAGAGAGACCAAAACTGCATAGAGCCACATTAAACAGGTGTCTGTGCATGGGACAAAATTTAGAGTTGTCATCGTCATTTGAAAATGATTTCCTCAGATCCATTATTAATAAAGGTCTGTAGTTAAAGATGGAGACTGTTAGCGTCATAGTTATGATAGAGCATTCAATGGTGCCTGCTTTTCTAGTAATATCCAATCTAAAACCAAATTATCTGGAAACTTCACCTAAGGTGGTGTGGGCAAATAATTACCAGAAACAATAGGGCATATCAGCATAACTCCGACAGGGTTGGTACACTTGCTAAACAGATAATCCAACACATACATACGATGACTAGTCTCGTACCCAGCAGCTCCACCCACAAGGGTAAAGGAGCGTCTGATGCAAAACCTGGTCCTAGAGACGTGATATCTGTAGTATCCAAACCGCTCTTCTAGTACAGTATAATACATACAGGGCCCCGCCTACCAAAGTCCGCGGAATACGGATTCACATGGCGTTGATTGCCCGTTCTGCAATCTGATTGGAGATCTCATTTTCGAGATCTAGGACCAACAACTGTGTCAATAGTCACCAGACTCCTTTCCCGCGTGATGAGTGGGTGGGGTCTGGGCACCAGACTAATATACAATCACATGGTAGTTGACACGAATACAAAGTTGGAAGGAGAACAAGAGACTGGTTGGCCGACACACGAATGCATGCACACAAGCTAGCACAACTCAACACAACAGACATGCGCTGCAGCTATACCACAAAAGGTATACACTTGTTCATGATGCGTGGCTGTTGCGACCGATGCTAGACTGGAGCCCTACATGAAGAAATCCCACATCATTCACCTAGTCACTGGCCTCTGCAGCTCACGTGTATTACTGTGGGGCTAACAAGAGTGGCTTAGTAACTGTAAATTCTACACAGGGTACTGATAAGATTAAGGCCTCAAAACAACAGCAGTATAGTAACACTAGGCTGCTGTCTCCCACTGAGCCACCAATCCAGCACAGTAACCTGTACACAGCTTGCTAACCCTCCACAGGGCACGCATAGCTCAGGGTTACAGTACGTGGTTTGTGACAGACATTCCATCTGTCTGTTATCGTGAATCATTATGTGAGGAACAAAAGCAAAGCAAATGCAAAGTTGCCCAAAAAGTGTTACTAACTGGTTCAATACTACATGTACACTGGCTTGATTGTACTGGGAGGGTGTGGCTAGTACCTGGCGAGGTGAAGTGCCAGCCAGAACACCTCAGTCTCCACCACAGCCTTGTCCCAGTCCCCACTCATCATGGCCATCAGCTCTCCTGCCATCTCCTGACTGGTCCCCTCCCTCCCCTCCTCTGCCCTCCTCCCCAGGTCACCAGAGGCAGTAGGTGTGGTGGAAGCAGGAGGAGAAGGAGGAGGTGACTGAAGTACTTTGCTCAGTGCCTCTCTGTAGAATGACCTGAGGAACAGGAAAGTGTTGTGTGGAGGAATGAAATGTGGGTGATTATGAGCAACTGAATCCGAGGTGTCAGTTAAGTGGGTTCATGGCATTACCAGACCCTAAGATCAACATTCCCCCTTATGTTGAGCAATTTTGAGTGAACAAGTCACATCCCCGACACTACCACCTGTAACCATGATAGCTTGAGCTGTCATGTTGCAATATTTATTCTGCTAACCTAAATCAGATTGAAATATTAACAGTAATGTATTATATGTCTTTGGTGCAACCCATTGTAACATCAGTTATCAGAATCTTTGGTATAGCGTCATATTCTCACTGAGTCACCTCTAGTCTATTTCCAGTACAATTCTAAGTCTTATAAGTACCATGGGTCTTGTGTTGGGAAAGACATCAGATGACGAAAATGTGTGTTCCTTCCATACGTATATACGTGGTATTTGAAATTAGATTCGCCTATATGCTTGCTACACCATGGTCAGTAGTTTTTTAGTTTATCGCATGCGTCAGAAGACTGATACTGAATCTTTACCAACCGTGAGAATCGATGGCCATTTCTCCGGGCTAGTCGAGCCAGCTGTAGCAGCATGGGGTAGTCCTCGCCAGTCACGACCAGGAGACTGTGCTCAGTCTGTGGGACTCAGTCCACCTCGTCTCATCAATACCTCTCCCACAGCTGGAGGAGGAGAGAAAGGCGGAGGAAGAGGTGGGTGAGGGGGAGTGGAATGGAAACAGAAGATGGCCACTGTATATGTACATCCTCATACATAATCCTGGTACATATACATAAGCAGCAACAGTTTTTTTTATACAGTTACGTATGTACGTATGTGTGTGTGTGACGGTCACGCAAAAATTGTACCCGCAAAAATATGGTATAGTCTTTTTCAATCGCTGTACAATCTTGAGTGGGTAGGGAGCCAACTGACCTGACTGGGCCATGTGTTGGAGAGTTGGAGTGACCGAGAGGACGGGTACTAGAGCAGACAGACAGTCCACTCTCGCCTCTTCCCCTCTGGCCACACCCTCCTCCAGACTCCCCTCGTCACCATTCTCCCCACTGTCCCCACGGGCACTCACCAACTCATACAACCTGCATACGGTTACATGGTAGGATGATAACAGGCAACCAGAACAGTGCAATAGGGGGTCTACCACCACATGTGGTATATACACTCGTTTGTGATCCACCAAATGAGGAAATTTCCCATTGATAGTCACCAAACAGTTCTTTTTATTATGTTTGTCGACAGCACCATTCACCATTCTACAGTCAGATCAAGCAGCGTGTTTTTTTGGTGAACGAAGCGAGCCCATCTACTCGTGTGATATGGGGTTTTTCTTACTGTACCGCTGCACATAATTGTGATTCAAAATACGTGCGAAAATGCATGAAAGAATTAGCTGCTATCTTTGCTTTTAGCTTACTCTATCTAGCACTGTCGTACTAGCACTGTCCTGTCGGAGTGATACAAAAGAGCTTCTGCCAACCCTGAGGTAATGGTGTTGATTAAGGAGACCCGGTTCCAGGATAAGCAAACGTACCCAGGCTGTAGCGGTGGTGCTAGATTCTATCTGCTCCGAAATCATAAACGAGATATTTATATGCTTGCAAGACAAACCAATGCCTACTTTGTATGTATAATAATGGGTGATTGACTATTAGGATCTCATAGAGAGAAGAGGACAAACTTATCTATTGTGTTTCTTTGGACCTCTGTAAACATGTGCCTTCCACTCCGGCCACTGATAGCATCATGGACACAATGGGCCACATGTACATCTAATACCATGTTCACACTCTACCCTTCACACACACACACACATACACACACACACACTGGTAGTGTGTACGTAACATGATGTACATAAAAACACACATTTCTGAATGGGGCACGATCTGATATATAAATTGGATGGACACGCCTGTTTTATCGCACCCCCTATAGTCTTCAATGAGGTGTATAGGTGGTTGATAAACTGAGCAAATAGCTTGGCTGCCTCATGTAGGATACGAAGTACTAATATAAGATCACACAAATCCGACAAACAGTTAATGGAGAGTGCACATGAACCGCTGTGTTTCAAGATTCCGCATTCACTAACAGAGATTAATTGATGGTGGATCTTTCTAGAGACTAGGCAAAATTAACAAACTTGAGTAACTAGTACTATTTTGGCCTGTTAATGAGTTTAAGATTCTGCTAACACTGTGCATGTAGCAGATAGTGCCCATTAAGTTTGAGCACCCAGCATTTATTACTCATCGCAATACGGCAGTGTTTGCTTGAGCTGATAGACATGTATACGTGTGTACATATGTATGAAAAAACGTGTAACTACTGTATTGCAGGTGTATTATTAATTCATATCCTACCACTCGACCCATAGTCTACAATAATAGATGTATGTGTATGTACACGAACAGTTATATGCCCAGCGAGTCTGGAAAAACATGTGAAGCTACACCAATGAGACAACCAAACACATGTACTGCTATTGAGCTGGCATGTTCGATCCAATCTAAATGTACATTGCATGCACATGTACACAGCCGACTCATGTGCGGCAATAGTGGCCATAAAATACAGGCGCATGGTCCTCAACAGCAAGGGCCAAGAACGTTAGTCTCCCACACAGAGCAGAACTAATGAACACATTACACACTCACATTATACCTTTATAAAGAGCTACCACAGACATAAACACGACACAAACAGAATTTCGTAATAACCTATCCCGTCAACTTTTCATGCAAATGTGAACACATGCGTACAGCACTCTCCATAAGCAGCGACAAGCTAACTAGTGTTAGCTCTTCCTCGTACTGAAAAAAGGCAATCCTGTTGCTGGTACCACATATTCTGAAAACAAGGTGTGTAAGTCATGTACATATGGAAGAAGGAGGCAGTAAACAAGGTTTAGGTCACGTATGTGAGAAAAGGGGCATGCATTGTTCACTACAATCCCTCAATGCAGTCCAACAGCGCTGGGCACATCCAAACAACAGCACCAGTGGTACACCTGTAGGCCACAGGGACAGGTGGTGCATTCATATGGATGTCAGCAGCTGTTACAAGACTTACACGAGCTACATGCGCCTCTCCACTGTACTGCATGTCTGTAGAACATGTAGTGGGGTTTCTCCTAGTCCCTGTCAACTGCTCTCCAGCTATACAGGCAAGACACTTGGTCCATACAGTAACATACATGTACACATGTACATACCTGCTAAACACTAGCCTTGTAAAAAGATACAAACTCCACATTCATGGAATATGTAACTAAATTCTTCCCAAGAGGCACAGAGTGAAGATAAAACACAGTTGGTGTAGCAATGTGTAATGTACATATGTCCATATATATAGGAGCCACTAGGTAAATCTTAACTATATTCACAGCCATAGGGTACATACTGAGTGGCCTAGACTGCATGTCATGTTTATACATGGGCTCCAGCCATATGGAGCTGGAGGCCTCCACTAGAACCAGTGGAGCCTTGTCCATGCCAGTCAGCTAGCCTCCACTGTGGCAGGGTATGTCAACCAGCCATGTAGCCAAAAGACTGACTTCTTTGTACATGCAGTGATCCTATTAGTAAATGTGGGACAATGCATGAACTGAGCCCTACACAAAGGACACAAGGCACAGGGGCTTTAGGACCAGGGGAAACAATTCAACTGTAACTTTTTTCTATATGTATGTGCAGCTATTTGAACTGGATACTGTGAAATTTCTTGTGGCAGAAAACCTGTAGACAACAAACAAAACACACCAACAAGTTGCTGTGCATCCCTGCCAGGGTAAAGTACATAAGGTTTTAGAGGTGACCTTGGCACTGAGAATGTGTGACATGTACTATGCAAGATGTTGAGAGACTTGGTGCATGACTACACATGTTCCTCCAGGCAACCCACACATGCCCATGGCACACTAACATGTACACACTAGTGCAATGCAGTACATGTGCTGGAACATGACCTACATACCTGTGGGATATTAGTCTCTACATGTGATTATATTCCAGTACACATTCACATAAATGCACAGAGGCTTAAAGTGTAGGTGGAAAACCTAACATGATGAATGGTACTACTACGACCTACATACGGCAAAGATCGGCCAAGATACATACATACCTAGAGAGTTGCGTAAGCAACAGGGCCCTAAGGTGGGTACGTCGGTGGCAAATTAAGTGTTGAGAAAGCGTTACACACTCTGTGTACATGGTCTTGTACTTGTGGCTGCAGTTGTAGTGTGTGCATACATGTGGACTTGTTACTCCATCTGCAAGAACAACGACCAAAAACACCAGTCCTACATTACTGGCATTCAAAGAGCACACACCACGTAGATGTGGAGGTCACAACAATGTCACAGTCACTTTGTATTTGCATTCTTACTGTGTGCAGAGGGCTAGGTTTGGTAACTTTGCTTCTAGGTGCGCATTTTACATCACTTGTTGGCTTCTTTGCACCATAATTTTGAGAGGAATGTCTTCTAAAAGCATATGTACAATAAAAAGACACTCACATTGAGTGAAATTTGTTGCACAGTGCATTGATAGGAATCCCTTAAACAGTGTTGGTAAAATTTTGGGTGTCATTGCCTGACAACGGCCAACCTTCCTGATCATTTTAATGACTGCAAAGATCTCAGGGTGTATGCCAATGTCATACAGTAGTTCTCAGTCTTCAGCAGTGAAGGAGAGTCTAGACATGTACTAATGGAAGCTCTTGCATAGTACACTGCTTTTTTCTGATGCTACAATGATTGTGTATCAATTGAATAACTTAACCATGCTGCATCACTGCATGCCAATAAGTAGGTAATCTAACACTTGTACAGGAAATTACAGAAATGTACCAGAAAAGGTTACGCAAGTAGGTAGCTATTGTAAATCACTAGATTCTTGGGAGGTACATATGTACATAATACGAGGGACGCCACCCCTGTTAGTGTAAGGGACGTTACTCAGATTGTCCTTTGGTATCACTAGGGACTAGAGTTAGGCAATGCATTAGGACAACGCTCCCTAAACCTGTGACTGTGGTTTTTATTGTTGTTTTTGTACAACTGGAAACAACATATGTAAAGACCACTCCATGTATTTTTACGCTTCTACTGAGCATGTCTTTCTGGTGTGCAGTGATTAATGAAATACCAGGAGAATAACAAACCAAAGCATGTGCACACACACACACACACTATAGAATTGCACATTACGCAAGTGTGTGTGTGTGTGTGTGTGTTATCAGCAGTGTGGCGGGAATTTCTATATTCGACCCACTAACTTTGTCATGATGCGCATCTTTTTAAATGAAATACTCTGTGGAATATTTTCTCAGTGTACACTTTTTCGTTTGCTAGCTGTTGATTTATCTTTTCTCAAACTTGGTGGTAGGGGCGATCACTCAAATGGTCTCTCGGTACTTTTATGTCATTACAGAGTCCTTTGGTCATCCCCTCTCCCCAGTGAATCGTCAGTGGGCTGAAGCTACATACAATGTGTTATGCTTGCTCCAGCTAAGACGCTCACTCCTCTCGCCCAAAGCATTTTCCACTAGCATGTAATTACGTACGAAAGAACATATAATTTCAAAGAAGTGAGGAATATACCTGGCTAGTTGGTTTGGGGAGACGTGTACTAAGCTCTGTGAGGCAGCCATGGTGCTAACCGACTGGCAGACATGTGACCGAGACCATATCCCCGTCGACAAGAAATCCACCGCATCACTCACAGCTTGGGCACTGCCTGGAGGCAAGGTGCACTGCGGAGTTCAAAGTGAGAGAAGTGCACGTGAGTCAAACAGGACAACAAGAACCTCAATGATAAGCAGTACACTCTACTCAGTCTCACGTGCTTCATTGCCCTTCTGATTTGGTTAACGTGGGGTTTTCTGGATACAACGATGATACGATTCGCGACTGAAGTATTGGGACGCATGTCTTTCGCTCGAAACGAGGTTTCTAGACTTTCTAATTAGCGCGCAAGACAACACGCGCGCGATGGTGGGGGAGTGGCTGCTACGCGTTTTTCTAGCCGCAACGGAAAGAATAATAGCTAGCGACACCAGATAAAACTGCATTATCCGCAGCGCTTACTGTACTATGGAAAGTCCTGCAGTCATCTCTGGCGACCGAGCGAATTCCCGTGAAGAACAAGCAAACTATTTCTACGTGGTGTGGCCAGAAGAAACAGTGACGACGCTCAGTGCTGCAGCGGGAGCAGGCAGGTTCGATCCAACACTCTGCAGCTCTGCAGTGCACAAATCTGCTGCTGGTCTACACCGCCACTCGCATACCCTGCAGAATCACAAACACCGCGAGCATCAATTGCTGCGACACGGACCTGGGATGGAACACCCGAGCGTAGCGCCGCTATCGCCGCCTGGAAAACATCTTCCTGAAATTGAAGTGGGCACCTTCGCCAGTCCACTAACAAGTCCGATCCTGAGCATCGCGGATGCATCGCCGTTAGTGACCCAGAGCAGCGCTAATTCTGTGCATTCTCCGAGAGAATATTCTGAAAAGACAAGTGGTCCGGGAAACGGTGAGGCATCACAGCAGTATTGTATAGCTAGGTACTGTGCAAAATGGAGATAGCTGATATGTGAACATTAGTTAAAGAAGGTAATAGCTACCAGTCATTTAGTATATCGAAAGTTACTTCCTTACTGCAAATTTGTTTTTGCAGTTGCTGATAAACGTGACGGAGAAAGCAGACGATCAAACTTGCCTTGTGAGCCATCGTCCAGTCACCCCAGCAGTGCTAACCTCTCAAGTTTCAGTCACAATGGCCTGCCGAGCAGCTCGACTATGCTGCAGAACAGTGCGGAGGGAGATAGAGTGGGGAGACTGTTGAGCAAGACCAGTGGGCAGGGCAACGGGCGCTTTGCCAGTGAGACTGTAACGACTCAGTACATGGACCACGACTCTGCTGCTGCCAGTCGTCGCAAACGCTCTCGGACACAGTACTACAACTTGAACGGGTGTCTGGAGTGTGAGGTGAAGGATGCAGAGATAAAGACACTGCGCAGGAGGATCCAGGTCATGGAGGAAGTGGTTGCACTGCTGAACCAGAAGCTGAGTGCAGTGCAGCAGAGCAGCAACGGAGTCCTGTTCAGTCCACTGGTCATGCCTCCAGTGGTGTCCCAGGTGGTGATACCTTCAACCTACACCACTCCACCCACCACCTCTGTCAAGGTGAGTCTTCAAATAACATTGAAGTGAGTGTTAGAACCAAACCCCTCCCTATGGTTTACCACATGTTAGAGGTTTGGTAACCACTCACAGGTTCATACACCAGGAGTTAGTGTTGACAGCAACCACTGTATCACTGCCACATCCCCACATGTGTCATCTGACACTGAAGATGCCTCCAGCGACAGTGCCTCCATTGCAGTGAGTGACAAGTACACCTCTCTACATTTCTCTCTGAAAATATATTGTTTTGTCTTAAAACATTTGCACTGAAGGGAACAAGTGTTTGTTCTGTCAACAATCTCTGTTTGTGTTCACCAACTGTCGCAACATCCACAAGCATCGATACATGTATTTAGCTGCAAAGAAATTTTGATGACATTCCAATTTTCTCCCTTGTACTGCAGTATGCACAGGCAGAGTTGTGCCCGTCAGCCGAGCAGCGTGTGGAGCTCATTCCTGGTACAGGGGTCTACGTGACCCTCCCGCAACTGGAGGAGGCTCGCAGAGAGGCCAAGAACGGAACACAACTGGCCCGCAAACTGATGGACGCATTCTGGGACCGGGAGACCCTGGCTCGCTCCTCCCTCTCTTCCAAGAGCAAGTACCAGTACCAGCAGTTGGACCCAAATGTCATCAGTGCTATTGAAGGTTGGTGTTCCTTTTAGATTTTTCCCTTTGCTACAATTTCCTTGCGTATATAGGTAAAATCGTGCTTTTGCTAGTGGCACAGTTTTTCTATGTCCACCAGTATAGCCATGGAATGTGATTGTTGGAACACGTGTTTAATGAAACATTGATTCGTGTACATTCTCAGTGTAGCGCTAAATCTTGTTCTTTTCAACGCGGCAAGCGTATCAGAATATAATTGGAGTTTGGTCGTGTAGTGAGTTGTGTTGGTGTAGTCAGGGCCTGTTCTTCTGAATGCGTGACAGTGTGTGATGCATGCAGTTGAATATGTGTCACATGCAGCCACTGGCAGCACTCACAAAGCCAGAGATGTGTCAGATGTTTCATTAAAGATGTTCGGTGGTAGCGGTTATTGAGGCATGCAACGTAAATGTCGGTCTCTTCTGGTCATGTGTTTGAGAGCAAGCCCGGCGTGTTGACATGCAATAGGAGGGTTGTTGTGAGCGTGTAAGAGATTGAGGTGGTGTATGGAATATGCTGGCATACATCTCATGTGACATGCAGTCGTGTACGTCCATACAGTGACATGTCGCGACAATACCGCAACTTTTAACAACTTTCGTCAACTGTGTTCTAGTCTCTGCTTGTTAACCACCACTATACATTCTCTGTGGTGAAGTAAGTTTGAGAATAATGGACCTCAGAGCTTCAAGTTCCCTTTTACCAATTGTTTTGTGAACGTACTATGCCGTGCTGGCTACCACAGAAATTATGGGCAGAATGTCCTTATGACGCAAAACTTGGTCCATATCTGCCTACATTTGTTTTTGTTGGTATAACTTGGCAGCTCTGTTAATTTAAGTATGTCTGTTTTTACTTATCTCATTTTGTTGACTGCAGCATATTGCCTGAATTTCGACAGCAACACTCACTCAAGGGACTTGCATGCCTGCATGACAGACAAGTGTTGTCAGGCCCGCAGTCGACGAGGGACTCCGTACAAGGTCGCTGCAGCTCTCCAGAATGGATTGCTACACAACGGAGTGGTTCATAATGGACTGCATGGAAGCAGCTTGAATGGCACCTGAGACTCTGCAATCTTTGACATTCTCGCAGATCACTTATGCTCACTATATACCTCCTTCTCCCCCATGTACCGAGTCACAGTTAGCAGCACATTATAGAGGTTTATTTCAAAATCAAGATTGTCTGAGTTATTGATTCTCTCCCTTCACTAACCTTTATACTGTTTTTTCTTATGTGTTTCAACCATGTCGCTGATCTGCAAAACTACCCAAGCTTTTTTTATACTTTTGTAGTCATCTCTCTAGTGGTGTAGCTATTGACTTTACATTTTTGATTAACTCGTGATTTATTTTGAGATTTTTGGGTATGACGTATATATGATGAACAGAGTGATGACTCGACTATAGGCTAGGCTAGGCCAGCGACATCGAGAGCGCGGCGGCGGATAGTGGGCGGAGCTCGCATCTACACACACACACGTGTATATACGTGTGCGGGTGGAGATACTATGTGGAGACACTGCTGGAGACGTGTCCAGTATCAACGTTTTCCTGGTGGAGCAATTTCCTGCATACAAGTTGCTCAAGCCTCGACAAGTAGCCGGAGCTCGGCTGCTTACTGTCTGGACCTAGTCAGGTTAGGTGGAAAGTTAGTCTGGACGCATGTATGTAGGAGGGAATGGAGCTCTGAACTTATGATTTAGACGCCTAGCCAGAGTAGTTTGGTAGGGGACTGGATGAATGTCAGTATGAGCTTACTGCTGCTTGTAACTCTCAGGAGATTCGACCATGAGCACTATCTGTGCTGTCTGTTGCTGCCTCCATGCTCCAGAGCTGCTAGCATCACACTCAGAGCTCTCAATGTTGAACTGGCCCAGGTCAGCCACTATCTACTATGTAAGATGTGCAGTAGATTTCTGCCAGTCTAGTACCAACAAATCTCGTGTGTGCCCAATGTACGTACCGAGTCAGCATTTTGGTAATACAGGTAGCTCAGTAGCCAATCAGATTACTACATTGTGTGGCAATGTAACCGAGGTGAATAGCACAATCACCAGATGTCCCTCGTTTGGACGGATCCATTGTAAGGTCTTGACATGGTTTTTTTGTTTCAACCCTCCCTACTCATCTTGTGAAAAAGGATGTGATATCTTTTTGGTTTGATTCCAAGTCAAATCACACGGCCGTAATCCGTTAGCAAGAATATAAGATAGCTAGACACACACAAACTGATCTTGTCGTGTGAAAAACTGCTGGTTGAAGTGTTGACTTGGTAATGTCTGTGTGCTCAGGTGAAGGATGTGGTGTCAGATAAGAGGATTGGTGAAATGAGAATCCAGTTCTGGAGAGATGCCATAGACCTTGCCTTCAAGGTCAGAGGTTTGCATGAAACATCAAAAGATCTATATATCTATTGGGGTTGCCTACTCTTTTCTGACCATGCAAAGCACCTTCATTAGGCTAATGTAATTTCTGGAGAGCCAAGTTTATTGGTGAGCAATGAAAGTTGCTTGGTGCCAACAAAAGGCTATAAATCCATTCTGTGACAGCATACTGCCAATTAGTTTTAGGATACCTTGTTCGCTGAGTCAGCTAAATCATTACTTCATAGATTCTGTGCCGCACATCCTCTGAGTTATGCTGAAAACATTCAGTTCTTTTACTGCTCTTTTTGATGTGTTGTTAGGTGACTGGTCTACATGTACATGCATTGTTTGCTCTTCCATTTGACATGGCTATGACATCATTGACTTGGTAGCGTTTTATCCTCTAATGTGTATGTAATCACATGTTGATGTACATATGAACTATGAATCAACATCTTCCCTTGATGTCCTGTATTTTTCTCCTCCCACTCCATTCCTCCCTCAGCCTCTACCCCATGTATTCTCTGTGTACTTTGTCTTTCACTCCTCCCTCTCCTTCCTCCCTCTCCTTCCTCCTCTCTCCTCCATCATTATAGGGTACTCCTCCACAGCATCCTGTGGCCAAAGAGCTCTCTCTGGTTAGTACTGCATAAGTATATACATGCTATTAGTGCGACGTAATAGAAATGTTGCTGAAACTAAAGCCGTGATTTTCATGCATGAACAAGTCATTAGTACTGAGTAAGTGTCAAGGTCATTTGCCGTATGAAGTAGTAAAATTGTTTATGCCAACATGTCACAGGCCATCCACAGACACCAACTATCAAAGCACTGGCTGACAAGGCTACTGGATGCCAGAGTACGTCTCTCTTCTTCAATACAACAGTGACTGGTATTCCATAACATCCCAACCTCCTCTGAGCAGGAGAGGGAACTGGGAGTGAGTACATACCTGACTACCAGCGACCTGGAACATCATGCCGAGTGGACCTCCTCATCTCTGCTTTACCTCACCCTCCAGACACTTGGTCAGACCTTACACCTTCCTAGGACTTGATCTTCACTCTCTCTCTCTCTCTCTCTCTCTCTCTCTCTCTCTCTCTCTCTCTCTCTCTCTCTCTCTCTCTCTCTCTCTCTCGTCTCTCTCTCTCTCTCTCTCTCTCTCTCTCTCTCTCTCCTCTCGTGATCGTGATCGTGTGTGTGTGTGTGTGTGTGTGATATCAGGGGTTGAGGATGTGAGCAGTGACCATGCAGCCAGTCATGTTGGTAAGGCAGAGACCATCACTACTCTACTCAGAGCTGTGCCCTATCACCTCTCCAGAAGAACTGTCCTCATCCCAATGGACATCATTTCTAGAGTCAGTTATTAACCCTCGGGACACATGC